CACTTTTATCTCTCTGGAGTGAATGTGAACTCCCAGAAATGTCTGAGACTGTGTAGTCAGTGCCTAAATGTTCAGGGTTACTACTTCCTGATGAACTGATTCCTACATCATCATAAAACATCCCTCCTTCTGGGTTCTGAGGTCTGGTTAAACATAGGTCTCCCTTAGCTTTGTTTTTTTAAACTGAGGGTTGAACCAGAGCCTTTATGCTGAGCTAAATCACCAGCACTTGGGCGGGGTGGTACTGGGGATTGAACTCAGAGCCTTGCACATGCCAATTTCTATTTCAACAGCTGGATGCAAACTTGTGATCCTCTTTAGTCTCCAGAATAGGTGTCAAACCTGGCCTGGGTCATTGTTTTTCTGTCTGACCATGTCTGCCTTTTTATGTAGGGGTACAGTTGATGCGATTATTTATATTGTTGAATCCTACTGGTTAGTTTGTTATTTGTTTCATCTGTCTTTGTTCCTTTTACCTCTTTGTCGTCTTCTGGGATGATTGTGCATTTTTTAATTCCACTTTATTGTATTCTGTTGGGTTCTTAGTTATGGGCCTCTGCTGTTTTCTTAATGATTGTTGTAGGGTTCGTACAGCAGTCACACTGCAGATGTTATGCCACTTCACTTGTGGGGCAGCAGCACAGCATGGTGCTATCTACCCAGTCTTTGTCCGATTGCTGTCATGGTTTTTATTTTTATATATTATAAATGTCTCAGTACATTGTCCTTGTTTTGCTTTAAGTACTTAGTTACCTTCTAAAGAGACTTAAATAACGGTCTCACACTAACCTGTTGCCTGTCTGCAACACCCTTTCTCGGTAGATCCCCATTTCCATTTACCATGATTGTCTTCTGCTTAAAGGGCCTACCATTGTATTTCTTGAAATATCTGCTGGTGGTGACTTGTTTCAGCTTTTGTATTTGTTTTAAAAAGTCTATTTCACCTTCTTTTGTTTTTCTTTGCTCTCCCCTTACCCAAGTAATGAGGATTAAATCCAAGGCCTTACATTGAACTACATCACCAGCCTTTTATCTTTTATTTTGACACAGGATCTCTCTTAGTCACTGAGTTTCTCAGGCTGGGCTCAAACTTGAAATCATTCTGCCTCAGCCTCCCAGAGTTCTAGGATTGCTCCTAGAACCTGCATCTATACCACTCAGCTTCATCGTTCTTTTTGAAAGATACTTTTGCTGGGTTTAGAATTCCAGGTGGATGGATATTTTTTCCACTCCATTTTCTTATGGGTTGCATTATTTCTTATAAGAAATCTGTTGTCCTTATATTTATATTTCTTCACATAATGTGTGTCTGTATGCTGGCTGATTTTATATCTCTATGTTGCTGATTTTAAGCCACCTTCATGTGATTTTCTTGATTCTTGTGCTTCAGGCATGCCAGCTTTGGCAACACACATACCAAAATTGTGCTTGTTGGGGCTGAAGATTTAACTCAGCAGCATAAACGCCTATTTTGCAGTGTGTGGTCGTGAGTTCGATCCCCAGTACCGATTAAAAAAAAAAAAAATGAATACAAAATTGTGCTTGTTGCTTCTAGAGCCTCTTGGACTTCTGGGTCTGTGGCTTTCATCAGGTCTTAGGCCATTTGATATTGTCTGTCAGCCTCCCTCCACTAGAGGTTTTCTTTTTGTCTTTCTTTCTAGTCCTCCGTTGTTGTTTTGTTGCTTCCTCCTGCAAAGTTTCTCACTGCACATTTGGGTTCACTAACTATTTCTCTGGCCATGCCCATTCTTGCATCTTAGGCCTCTTGGCTGTATTTTTCACTTCAGTCATTGTAAGGTTCCCCTTGCATTTGGGGCTTTTTTTTAGGTTTAATGACTGTTTATCTCGTTCAATGCTTTTCCTTATTCTGAGCATATAAGGGACATCCTGAGTAATAGGTACCCTTTTCTTCTGACTTGTCCTGGATGAACTCTGAGCCAGCTTCTGCTGGCTTAGTGTGGGTAGGAAGCTGCCTGAGCACATTTACCACTCAGAGGGCATTTATAAAATTCTTTTAGATCATTTCTTGATGCTTTTCTTTTAGGGTGTCATTACCCTGCAGGTTAATCACATCTGACTGATGGTTTGGAGGCACTCTTCAAGTGCAATCAAGTGGAATTTAAAACAAATTTCTTTTGTATTTGCATTTATACCAACGTCAGATAAATTCTGCAAAAGCACTCTATTTTGACTTTGGAAGATGTGTTTCTTGCCTTGTTGTGGATTTCCACAGTGCAATAAATGGTGAAGAAGTTTGACATTGCTTATGGTTTGAAATGAATTTTGCACTGTGTTTTTACATATAAGCACTTTTAGCCATGTAATTTTAGGTTGAATTCATCAAGAAACTATCCAGTCTGCAATAAAAATTAACTTTCAAAGTCATTCAGTGTTTAATAGTGATGGTAGAGGTTTTAATCATTTAGAAAATTTCACTTTTTTTTTTTTTTGAAAATTTCACTCTTTAAAAAAATTCATTCTTGGGGCTAAGGATTTAGCTCAGCGGTATAAGCGCCTGCCTTGCAAGCAGGCAGTCATGAGTTCGATCCCCAGTACCGATAAAAAGGCCAAAAAAACCAAAACAAAACAAAAAAATTCATTCTTGGCCCTGAGTTAAAAAAAAAACTGATAAAAATTTCACCATCACGCAGCTGTTGAATTGTTGCATGGTAGTTCAGGGTGTTCGGCTCCTATTTCTGACCAAAAATTCACAAACATGATGAGACAAGTCTATGAGCTGTTTAAGTAGCTCATGGTAGATTGAAATATATTCCATAAAATACCTGGTGATGAGTAATAACAACAAATAACCATAGTCTTACATCTTCACGATGTAACAACCTCGTGAATTATCGAGCTCAGCCTTGTCTGACTTATATGCACCCTCAAAATGATCAGCAGTGTCATACCTTAGCAGAGTCCACTTCAGGTGGCTTCCAGTGGCACAGAAGCAGTGTTCTCTTGTTGAGACTGAGCAGCATCAATAGCATCACATCGTCAGGAGCCAAGGAAAATTGCTGTTATCTTACTGTTCTGTGGCTTTCACTTTCTGCAACTCTCCAGGAACTGTCTACCCAGAGTCTAGCACTCTCAGGCCAGTTTGTTGTCCCTGAACATACAGTGTTGGCTGCCTCAGTCAACACGATGTAATCACTCACTATCAGTGAACAACTTCCCTTGCTTGACTAAGTGAGCCAAAACTTACTTTATTCAAAGGATCATTCACATTTTTGCCAAGTAATTGTGCTGTGATGAGATTCCATTTCAGAGTTTCTATTTTCATTTAAACCTATTTCAAGTAGTGTATAAATTGGAGACGCTGTGTGAGCACATGGGTGGTGATGTCACTGCAAATTCTCAGCACAGTGCTGAAGTCTAATTGATGAACTCAGTGTTCCCGATCCAACCCAGTATCACAGTAGCTCAATTCCCTGTGCTTAGAAGCAGGACATTCAAGGCCCAGTTGCGTTTACTTGACACACTGAATATTCTCTGATCATTAAAACAGAATGTTGTGAGCACTGTGATTTGCAGTGACACCATCTGGTCTGTCTTCTGCTTCTTGACTTTATCTGCTGTGTGGTCCAGTGATAGCCTGAGACAATATAGAAGCAAATCAGTGTGGCTGTACACCAAGAAATTTTAGTCTCTTATGATTTTCACATTACAAAGTAATATTTGTTCGGGGCTGGGGATTTAGCTCAGCGGCATAAGCACCTGCCTTGCAAGCAGGCAGTCGTGAGTTCGATCCCCGGTACCGATAAAAATGAAAAAAAAGACAAAAAAAAAAAAAAGTAATATTTGTTCATTTATTCATTCATTTTGAAGTACTGGGGATTGAACCCAAGACCTTTATACTAACTCACATTCTCAACTCTCTTGATATAAGGTCTTGCTAAGTTCCCATAATGGGCTGAAACTCATGATCCTCCTGCCTTAACCTCCCAAAATGCTAGGATTATAGGTTTTCCCACCATGCCTGGTTCAAATCTTTTTTTTTAATGTACTGCAATAATTCTTTATCTTCAATGGATCAACATATTCCTTATTAACTTATGTCTGTGACTTTTTTTTTTTTAATAATAAAGTCTCGCTGTGTGGCCTAGACTGGCCTTGAACTTGCAATCTTCTTGCCTCAGTCTGCTTCCTCGGTGCTGTGATTCTGGTCTCTTTTAAGTTATTATTAATTTTTAAAAAGCCCTGGATGAAAAAAGAAAGAAAAAACAAAGTGAACACCAGAGATTTAGCTCAGTGGTATAAGGGCCTGCTTGGCAAGCATGAGGTCGTAAATTCAATCGCTGGTACCAAAAAAAAAAAAAAGAAAGAAAGAAAAAGAAAAGCCCCAGCTGTCCCAAGTTATAGTAGTGAAGGCTGCATTCCTAGTCTCCCTTAATACTACTAGGTTTTTTATTTGATTCTTTTAGTCTTTACTACAGTGGTTAGCACTTCTAAAACTGGCAGTCGGTGTCACTATTCTTATCCTGACTACAGTGGGTCTACTTTCAGCCTTTTGCACCTGAGTATTATGAAGGCCAGGGTTTTACGGGAATATTTTTGACCAGGTCAAGTAAGTTTGGAGTACTTCTAGAATACTGAGAATTCTGAGGAAGTAGATGTCAGTCTGATCACATGCAACAATAGCTTTCTCAGCCACACTCTTCTCAGGTATCTACTGAAGTTTGTTGTGTTTCCAGCCCTGGCCCTCAGGCAGTTACTATCCCCATGAGGACCCTTCTAACCATTTATCCTCAGCAGGCCAACCTGTTGTGTCTGGCTGGAGCTGTGATTCACATTAACCCCATCACTGGGCTTCTCTTCCAGTGGTCTGAATTTCTGAAATCCAAGATAGGGCTGGTGTCTCTGCCTGCCCTTTGCCCTGTTGATGGGTCACTGTCTCAGGTGTGAGACAGAAGAAATGCTTGATTGATACAGGGGGCAACTGTGTGGGCAGGACCCCAAGGGCCAGCCCCACCCACTCATGCTGTCTTCTGTTGTTTCAGCTCCTCTCCACCAGGCATGCTCCTTGAGAAGGACTGTGAAGTTTACCGAGATTACAGTGTGGATGGCCAGCTCCTTCACTACAGGTAGAGTTGCCAGCTCAGTGTACCTGGTGCTGGTTGGAGGGTGGGCTCCTGGGTGGGCCAGTGCTGGAGTAACAGAAGAAGAATCTAGTTCAGCGGAGACAGTGAGAACCAAAAGGAGCCATGGAGGCCACTAGTGCCTGAGGCCTGGCAAAGACCACTGAGAGAACAACTTCATCAGACCCACCTGAGACAGCCCTGGGGGAAAAGTGACGTCTCAGCATTTGGTCTGTCCCAGGTAGCACTGTTGACAAAAATCACAGCAGTCACCAGGCCCACCTGAGGGATCAAATTAGTCCTAGGAATGGGAATAGGCTTTGTGCACTGGGCCCTACATCATGTAGTGGAGAACTAGAGAGTCCTAGAGGCCCCTCAGGACCCAGTGGGGCCACAGCTTGCCTAGCCAGACTTCTTTGTGGTAACTGGCCTCTTGTGGGGAATGTAGGGCTGGGCGCTCCCTCTGTAGCAGCCTGTGACCCACAAGGTACACTACCCAGGGACAGTGTGGTGCCGGGAGGGGCTGGAAGACCTGAGGAGTTGTGGCTTCATCTGGATTTTTTTCACTAAGTCATTTGTCAAACACCAGGGGTTTAGAAGGAAGTCTGCACCCACCCTGGCCCCCAGTGTGTCTGTGTCCGTAGCCTCCTGGGCTTTGCTGCCTTTTTCAGTGACATAGGTCTGACTCTGGCGTGCCTCTTGGAGATCCTACCCTCCTACACTCTTGCCTGTTTTAATCATATGCTGGCTAGACTTGCTGAGCACTGGGAGGTAAATCAGCAGTCCCTACCATGCTCAGGAAAGGGTGCTCTGGGAAGACACATCAGAGACCCTCCAGGCCACTCAGAGGCAGAGACAGCCCAACATGCCTATTGGGGGCCATTCTTTTTTTTTTTTTTTTTTTTGTCTTTTTCATTTTTGTCGGTACCGGGGATCGAACTCACGACCGCCTGCTTGCAAGGCAGGTGCTTATGCCGCTGAGCTAAACATCCAGCCCATCGGGGGCCATTCTTGTAACCCCTCGGGCACTCTGGCCATAGCTGACAGTGACCTGATGGGGCTGCTCCATGCCATGCAGCTTAGCACCCCCTCCTTCCCCTTCTGCCATTGTTGCTCCCATCATTGAGGCCTCAAGACAGAAGTCCCGGGAAGTCTGGTAAAAGGGGGTTCCAGGGAAGGAGTACCAGCAGTGTGCAGGAGCAAGGGGCTTGGCGTGGTCTGTGTGTCCCAGATCACCTGTATCTTTTTAGAGAGGGTGGAGCAGGTGGGACAGGTAGTTAGAAACTGTCTTGAGATTCCCTAACCTTTTCTGCTGAGAACTGGCAGCCTCTGCAAGGCTCCTGAGCAGACTTGGACACATATTCACAGAGAATAATGTGCTGAACAGCAGGCCTGTGCATGCCCTGTGGACCTGCTGGGCAAGTGCTTGATGTCCACATCCATCTTCCTGGCTCGTGAAAAGAGATAGTTTTGCTATCCTGGGGGTTGTAGCTGGAGAGCCACTGAAAAACCTGGGCCAGTGACAGCCTGAATATGACCTGTGCAGAGTGGGGTACCAGCATCCAGTGGGGACTGTGGCTCAGGGGACGTATTAGTCAACCTTCCCATCACTCAGGCACACCACACATACCCAGCGCTCAGTGTTTAAAGGAGAGGTTGATTTGGCTCAGGCTTCAGAGGTCATGGTGGAAAGGCATGGTGAAGTAAAGCTGCTCACTGCATGGCAGACAGGAAGCAGAACTCAGGGAAAAGCACAAGCAGGAAGGGGCCAGTGGCCAGGCCTAGTCCCCAGGGTCCTGCCTCATAACCCCTCCAGATTTACCTGGAGTGTGTTCTACCCATCTCCTGAGTGGCTCCCAAACCAGTCAAGATGATAATCCAGCTTAACTGTCACTGGGGCCTGACACTTTCTCACTGCAGTGCTATGTGGGATGGCAAGAAATCAAAATCTCTGAGAAACAGATTATAGAAGGAAACAGAGCCAACTGAGTCCTGAGGCAGAGGGAAGTTGTGCCCAACCTGGTATTCTCTACTTGCTGCTTGAAGAACAGTGGTTGCAGGTGGAAGTGCTACCCTGTGTCTCCTTGACTCATGTGGTGTTGGTCCTAGTGACAGCTGGGACAAGTGTTGGGTTTCTTGTGGGAAGGGCCATCCTAGGGACAGAGCTAGAGCTGTCTAGGTGGAAACCTGTTGGGCAGAGAGGACCCATGGGTGTGAGAAATGTGCAGGAGGTAAAGATGCAAAGTTGTGGCCACAGGGAGGGAATGGTGACATGAAGCCAGCACCCATGTGCTGCAAGAGTCCTAGCTAGCAGTGACAGAAGCAGGGTGTACCTGGGACAGCCCTGGGGCCTCCAACTCACATATAGCTGCCTTTGTATTGGAGTCAACTTGCTTGTCAGAGAGTGGGAAGCCAATCTTACAGGCAGTGCTTGGGGCCCTGTCCAGGACAACAGGCTTGTATGCCAAGCAGAATCCTCACTGGCCAAGCGCAGGGTGACCTAGAGGCCTGAGCAGGGTGGCAAGTGACCATGCAGGTACCATGCAGAGTCACAGGCTGTCTGAGGGCAAGACGGTCATGTTGTCTTTAGATATGCAATTTCTTATCTGTGTGAGTGTAGCTGTGTTGGTGTTGCATCAGGCTTAGGTGACTGTCGAGGAGCCACCATCGCTGGTCCCTTCCTCACCCCTTCTTGATGTCCATGCCCAGTCCAGCCACTTCCCTGAAACTGGCAGCAGGGAAGCATAATCAGCTTTGGTTTTGTTTCTGGGTTTGGTTTTACGTAATGTTCTCAGTTCTTCTGAAGTAGGCTACAGAAGGAATAAATGTCTGGAAACCCTGAGCAGAAGGAGTCTTTAGTCTGCTGTGTCAGTGGATCCTCTGCCCTTGTACCTTCATTGTTCAAAGCATGTCATGCAGAGATGGGGATCCCTACCCGAGGGCCTACACGCTTTAGGGAAAATGGGGAGGAGCTGGGCACAGGAGCAGGCCACAGGCCAACTGGGAAGGTTGGGCACATTGAAGAGTAGTACACCAGGGACCATAGATGAGAAACCCTGTCAGCAGGACCTGGAAAGTGATGTGAGGCCAGACGCTGAGGATGCCTGGGTGGCTTGGAGCCGCCTGTCTGGGTGCTGGATGAGGTAGACCTTCAGGCCAGAAGATATACTGTGGGGTGTTCTTCTCTTGAATGCCACTTCATCTGTGTGCATATCCAAGGGTGGCCTCACTGAGATGTGGAGCCTGTGACCAGGTACTTGTAGAGGCCTCATGCCAGCTCTGAGGCTCAAGAGTCTATTTAGCATTGAATATACACATGCTGTCTTGCTCCATAAGCTGGCAGGAGCTGCCTGTTTGGCAGACAGCAAGCCCACAGTATCCACCTGTAGTTGATTTTGGACTTCTAGCCTCTGTCACTGAGAGAAATAAATTTCTGTTGTTTTTAAGCAACGTCATCCTCTCCCATGTTTGCCTTCACTGGATATCCTGGAATGGAGCATCATTTTCTCAACAGCAGGCCTTTCTCAGGCCCTTACCTTTTCTGATACTTGTCCCCACCTTTGGCAACCAGGAGCAGAGACCCCAGGATTGAAGGCCTGTCCTGAGCCTGCCCAAACCTCACTTCTCACTAGCATGTCCAGCCCACCTCACTTGCCCCCACATTAATAGGGAAGTTGGAGCCTGGTCCAGAAGAGCCCCGCATTGGACACACAGCCAAGCTGATCTCTCCAGCACTTTGACCAGCCCTCTCCCAGGAAAAGGAGAAGCTAAACAAAATTCACAGGATCATTCAAAGGCTGTCAGAGTGCCACACAGTGAGGCTGGAGAGACAGCTCGGCCTGTGTACTGTCTCTTCCCCAGTGGCAGGTCCCAGCAGCTCAACAGCCACGCTTTCTTCTGGACTCCCAAGCCAGATGGTAGCTATGCGTGTAGGCTCACGCTGATCTACCCTCCTGACTGCCTACCAGAAACAAACCCAGATCTCAAATTACCCTTACAGTTTTCATGCACAAGAACCAGAATTTCAAGCTGAGCATAGTAGCACAAGCCTATGCTTGGGAGGCTAAGGCAGTAGGATTGCCTCAAGTTCAAGGCCACTGTACTACATGGTGAATTCAAACCAGCCTAAACTACCTAGCAAGACCTTGTCTTAAAAAAGAAAAAAAAAATTCAGTCTGAAACACCACAATTGGTCAAAAACAGAAACAGACTCATAATCTATAAACTTTTGTGTTACAGAAACCAATAAATACAACCCGTAAGTACAAGACATTAAATGGCAAATAAACCAGGTGTGGTAGTATACACCTATAATCTTAACACTTGGGAGGCTGAGGCAAGGCAATCACTATGAGTTTGAGGCTATCCTTGATTATAGTGAGTTCAAGCCTGAACCACATGATAGACTCTGTCTCAAAAAAAAAAAAAAAAAAAAAAAAAAAAAAAAAAAAGTAATTGAACAGAATCACATAGGTGTTCTAGAACTGAAGAATACAGTGACAAAAAATAAGAACTCAGATGATGCTAAGGTTCCCCCACAGATTCATATGTTGAAATCCTAACCTCTGGGGGTGGATCTTTATGAGTTAAAGAAGTCATGCAGGCAAATCAAGAAATTGATGGCAGTAACAGATAAGGTTACTGTCCTTATAAAAAGAGGCCTGAAAGAGCTTGGTCTTTGACCACAGGAGGATGCAGCAGCCAGGCACTATCTATGACCCAGGAAGTGGTCCCCGTCAGACACTGAGTCTTTCAATACCTTAACCTCAGACTTCTAGCCTCTAGTGCTGTGGAAAATAAATGTTTATTGTTTCTAAACCTCTTAGTCTATGTTATTTGGTCATAGCAGCCAGAGGGGTTTAAAATTAAAGCTAATTAGAAAATTACTAAATGGAAAAGCAAATCAGAAGAAAATATATTCTAAAGTCAGAAATGGAAAATACACCATAACTTGAAAAGTGGCCTGCATAGGAAATGTGACTGATTGCATTCCCATGAAAGAGGGAAAGGAATAAATGAAATATTTGAAAAAACGTACAAGAAATTTCTGAAAATCATAGAAGATACTGACCCACAGAAGAAATTCTAAATACAGAGCCATGCCTAGATAGCATGGTAAAAGGAAAGAGATCCTCTGCCTCTCCCTGGACTGTCCTGTTCAGGTCCCAGTTACGGGAGGCAGAGTGTGGTAAGCACTGTTTGTGTATCTACCTGGCTGTATCATCCATGTGGTCCATGAGCAAGGGAGGCTCAGAAGAGGCCAAGTGTCCAGTGTGACCCCACACACAGTGGGTGAGGAATTTGGACAATGTCATTCCCATGGGGCCTAATGCCCATCTTAGTCAATAGCTGGGAAGAGGTTTGTTCTCTGCCCTGATGAAAGCAGCGGCTGTGCAGGGGAAAGACCAGGGGGAGACTATCAGGAGCCTCCAGTTGAAAATAGGGGCCTTGAGATGCTGGTGTGGTGTCATGCTGGGTTCACCTAGCTGTGGCTCTTGACAGCCCCTCCTCACTACCATCCCTGGGCAGGGCACACGTCATGGGCACAGCAGCAGCTCTGCCTGGTACTAGGGTTGGGGATTGAGTTAGGATTAGGGAAAGGGAACAGGTGGTTCCAGGAAGGACACTGGGAATCCCCAGATTAAGTAGTGGGGCTGCACTCAGCTCTGCCAGTAACTGCCACCTGCTCCCCCACACAGGACATCCTCCCTCCGGTGGAACTCGGGCACCAAGGAGCGCATGCTCATCAAGGTCCCTGACCGAGAGCCCAGCTTCCTTGCCCCTCAGGGCAATGGCTACCCACTGGAGGGCCAGCCTGGGGGCCGCCCCCGCAGACCCTCTGGCAGCCAGCACTCACCCAACCTGCAGACCTTCACCCCTGATGCAGATGGCGCTGTCTTCTTCCCAGAGAGGCGGCCCTCGCCTTTCCTGAGGAGAGCTGAGCTCCCTGGGACCTGCTCCCCGCTGCTTGCACAGTCCCGGAAGGCCTCCAGTGACTCACAGCCATCCTCCCCACGCTATGGCTATGAGCCCCCACTCTATGAGGAGCCGCCCATTGAGTACCAGGCCCCCATCTATGATGAGCCTCCCATTGACATGCAGTTTGAGGTCAGTGGCCCCTACCAGGCTGGTTCCCCACAGAGGTCACCAGGTCGAAAGCCCCGCCCATTCCTGCCCGCTGCCAAACAGGCCCCTGCATCACCCTGCCAGCAGCTGGTACGCACCAAGCAGAGATGCCCTGAGCGCTTCTTAAGCCTGGAGTATAGCCCTGCAGGCAAGGAGTATGTCCGCCAGTTGGTGTATGTAGAGCAGGCAGGCTCCAGCCCTAAGCTTCGCTCTGGGCCCCGGCACAAATATGCACCCAACCCTGGTGGTGGCTCCTATTCCCTGCAACCCAGCCCCTGCCTGCTGAGAGACCAGCGCCTGGGAGTCCTGTCTGGAGACTATAGCACCATGGAGGGGCCTGAACCACGACACAGCCAGCCACCCACACCACTGCCACAGGCCCAGGAGGATGCCATGTCCTGGTCCAGCCAGCAGGACACCATGTCCTCCACAAGCTACTCCCCAGGCACACGAAAGAGAAAGAGCAGAAAGCCCTCTCTGTGCCAGGCCCCCAACACCTCTGCTGACAGCCCAGGGGACCTGCTAGGCGAGCAGCAACTGGCTGAGGAGCGTTCTCCGTGTGGGACCAGCCTTGCCCAGGTGAAGCGTGTAGAGGCCGAGGCAGATGCTGCACGGGGTGCAGCTGAGCCCTTCCTAGCACAGGCACGGCTAGCATGGGAGGCACAGCAGGCCCACTTCCACATGAAGCAGAGGGGCAGCTGGGACTCCCAGCAGGACGGCTCAGGCTACGAGAGTGATGGTGCTGTGCCACTGCCCATGCCTGGGCCTGTGGTGCGTGCCTTCAGTGAGGACGAGGCACTGGCGCAGCAGGAGAGCAAGCACTGGAAGCGGAGCACCTTTGAGAAGCTGGGCTTCCCCCAGGTCCTGCTGGAGAAGAGTGTCTCTGTGCAGACTAACCTGGCCTCCCCGGAGCCTTACCTCCACCCCTCCCAGGTGAGGCTGCATGGTGGGGTGGACAGGGCAGAGGGCCCTCAGGGCCTGGGGGCAGCACAGTGTAGAGGGCCCATGTGTCTGGCATCTGCAAGATGAGTGTTTTAGACACTGAGGGTGCAACCTCAGGGCTTCCTTGGCCATGAGCCACGTGGGAGCTAAAGCTGTGTCCTGAGGACTTGGGCAGGCAGGCATTAGATTTGCAGTGAAGTGGTGGCTTTCCGAGCTGTTCCCCACAAACCCCCTTTGGGCAGGAAGAGCTTCTGGAAGGCAGCAGCTACCTGGTTCCCCATGTTACAGCTACTGTCAGAGCCAATGCCCACATCCAACCTGACATGCCTTCCATGTGGTGCCAAGAGTACAGTCCCCACCTGAACCTCTGTCCAACTGCTCAGTGTCTGGGCATCAGTACCAGTTTCCTCCCTACTGGAGACCACCAGGCCCCAGGGATTCAGTTGCCCATGGCCTGGTTGTCACTCTCTTTCTTGTGCATTCACAGCAGGCACGGAGCCACAGTTGAGAGTAGCCTAATGTCTGCTCCATGGTCCCAGCGTCTGCAGAGGCAGTGAGAGCCAAAGGCCTCCTAGAAGTGGCATGGCAGGTGATGCCTGGGCAGAAGCATCCTCGCCCTCCAAACAGCCATAGAGATTTGCCAGCCTGAGTATCTCAGAGCTGCTTTTGGTCAGGATTTTCTGCCCCATGTTTGTAAATGTGGGAAGATGGGGCAGACCTACGAGGCAGCTGTGGAAACAGAATGAGCAGGGGAAAGCCATGTAGCAGGGCCCAGGGGCAGGTCTGAGAGCAGTGGAAAAACCAGGCTTTGGGGCCAGCAGTGGGTCATTCAGAGGTAAGCACTGGTGGGGCGAGGGTGGGGTGGGTGGGGTGTGGGCACAGTACTTTCCACAGAAGCTGGATGTTAGCATGTCTTTAGCTAGACAGGGTTGTCCTGTCTTCCCTACCTTCATCTGGGTTACATGTGGCTAGGCCCCTACATGTGGCTGTCACTTGGCCACCACGTAGGGAATAAGGTTGGGGTGCCTACATCCTGATGGCACAGTCCGGTTTGTCCTTCTCAGTCTGAGGACCTCGGTGCCTGTGCCCAGTTTGAGAGCAGCCGGCAGAATCGCAATGCAGTGCCCAGCTCTAGCTGTGTCTTCCCCACCTTCACGCTACGCAAGCCATCCTCAGAAACAGACATTGAAAACTGGGCCTCCAAGCATTTCAACAAGCACACCCAGGGCCTCTTCCGCCGGAAGGTATCCATTGCCAACATGCTGGCCTGGAGTAGTGAGTCCATCAAGAAGCCCATGATTGTAACCAGTGACCGGCATGTAAAGAAGGAGGCCTGTGAGATCTTCAAGCTAATTCAGATGTACATGGGTGACCGGCGGGCCAAGGCTGACCCACTGCACGTGGCTCTGGAGATTGCTACCAAGGGCTGGAGCATGCAGGGCCTGCGGGACGAGCTCTACATCCAGCTGTGCCGGCAGACCACTGAGAACTTCCGCCTGGAGAGCCTGGCCCGAGGCTGGGAGCTTATGGCGATCTGCCTGGCCTTCTTCCCACCCACGCCCAAGTTCCATTCCTACCTGGAGGGCTACATCTACCGGCACATGGACCCCGTCAATGACACCAAAGGTAAGGCTTTGAGGTGGGGGCGAGGCCCATTCACCATCAGCCCTGTTGGCCCAGTCATGCACAGAAATGCACCTTCCAAGCAAAAACACACATCTCCTAGGTCCCTGCCCTAGAGATTCCCACCTGGGCCCCAAGGTCAAGTCCTGGCTGAAACCAGGGCACGTGGCTCTGTGTCTCTGCTGTGGTGTCCACTCTGCTCCACAGGCCCGGCATGGTCAGTTGTCCTCCTTGACAAGGGCAACTGTGGTCAAGCCCTCTGCACTTGCCACATTTGACTATCATCCCACAGCCTGTGGGCAGCTTCCCCATAAGGTTCAGGCCCTCAGATCTCAGTGGGGTCCTACCTGAAGGCTTGAGCAGCAAGGATCATGGTTACTACAGTGCAAGACCCAATGCATGGGCTTCTCTTATGTTTAAGGAGACCAGCCAGCCTTTACCAGAGCAAGCTGCCTTGGGTTGGAAGGTGGGACCAGCTGAGGTCACCATTTGCTGATGACCGCCTGGGACCATGTGCAACGCCCTAGAGGTGATACGGGTTCTGGTGACCCCAACGTCTCAGCTAGGCAGCACCCAGGTGACCAGCCTACATCCTAAGCTGGGCAGAGTGCTCTGTCCCACAACCATTAACATCAACAGACTCTAGCCACACTCATGTAGCATATACACTTCTGTCCACAGGGCATGTGAGTCCAGCTCTGACTATTGCAGCTTTGCCTCTACAGAAGCAACCTGGCTGGTACCACCAAGGTCTCTTTCCATGACCCAGGTGTGGAGCCAGTGTGCACAGAGACTGGGCAGAGGGTGCTGGGTACAGGTACCGTATAGTACCTCAGCCACTTGGGAAATTTCAGAATTTATGCAATAAATTTTTAACATGGATCCCAGTAGATGCAAAGCCTGTGCTGGGGATAGAGCATGAGTCCAGTGCCTGGTCTTAAGGAGCAGGTAGAGTCCTGGGGGATGCTTACCTGTTGGTTTCATAGGTACCTCCTTGAGTTCTTCTAAAGAGTAGTTAAATGCACCTTAAACTGGAGGCTTTAGAAATATGTCTTTGCTGCTCACAGAGCACACAGTCCACAGTAGGTACCCAAGAATGTGCTGAATAAAACTGGGAGCAGTGGGGTTAGAAGTCATTGACCAGCAAGTGTGTGGCTGGGCTGTTCCACCAGCGGGCTCTTGGGAGTTTTGCCCCAGGCCCTATGCAGGACCATTGAGGTCTGTGTGTATCTCCAAGCATCTCAGCCCCAAGGGTTCTGGCTTGCTCATAGGAAAGAAGTGGGCTTAGGCTGGGAGCCACATGAGGTCTGTGAGTTCTCAATGTCATGGGCTGCAGTAGGAACTGGGGTTCTGTGTGGTCCCACCAGAAAGTACCATGCATCCAGTCAGAACCTGTAACCCCAGGATCTAATCTTAGCGTTGCCTGGCTGAGGCTCTTGCTTGGCTGTGGGCCAAGAGAAGAGATGTACACACACAAGGTGGCCATCGTTTCTTCAGTGGGCCCCAGGCTTCTTCCAGCAGCTCACTGTCCCTACACAGTGTTGCCTTTCACGTGCAAGCAGCCCTTTCAGGAACATGGTGCTGGTCAGACAGACCTTGCCAACCTAGAAAGATGTCGTCTGTACTGTAGAGGACAACTGCCTGGCCACACAGCCCTTTACATAGGAAACCACAGCTGAGAGGGGTGGCACCTGTCCCAGAATGTGTGGTGAAGGACGGAGCAAGCCTGGCTCCTGTGCTTGGAGTTGCTTGCTACAGCCACAAGAGCCTTTGACTGACTGGTCCATCAGCATGTGGGCATGACCTCCACTGTGTGGTCATCCCCCCGAAAGGTCACCATGAGGTGACCTCAGCTTGGCCTGGGTCGTCTTGTATGCTGGTACCATTATGGCAGATAGCACCAGTTATCTTCTGGTTGTCCCCCAGGATGCCCTTCAAATAGGTTGTCCCAGACTGTGAAGGAAGTTTGGCCCTGGATATGAGGTTGCAGGAAAGAGCCCTTCAGTATGAGTCCTGTGGAAGGTGTAGCTCTCATGGGCTTCGCTGATGCCCAAGCCCTTATACTCCCACCAGGACTTACCAGCTCCCAGTCAGAAATGACAGGTTGAGCATTGCCTTTGCTTTGACTGTACCTTAAACTCTCAGAAAACAATAAAAACCACAAGGAAAACAGTGTAGCAGTCCTCTAAATAATTAAAAATAGAATTATCATGTGACTGCCAGTTCCACTTTAGGGTCCGTGCCCAAAAGAATTGAAACAAGGGCCCCAGCAGGTACTTGTTGACCCATGTTCAAGGCAGTATATTTACTGTAGCTGGAAGGCAGAGACAACCCAATGTTCATTAATATATGAATGGGTAAACAAAATGTGGCTTATACAGAAGTGGATTATTGTGAAGCAGTGGATTTTTATGACACCTTTAGAAGAAAGGAAGTTATGCTATACATGCTACAGACATGGATGGACTTGAGAACATCGTACAAAATGGAAGAAGCCAGTTCCGGAAGGATAAAGACTGATTCCACTTCCATGACATCCTAAGTTATGGAGGCAAAAGTGGAATGGTGGGAGCCAGAGGTTGGGGAATGGGGGTGAGGGAGTTAGTGTTTAATGGGGACAGAGCTTCAATTTGGGAAGATGAAAAATTTCTGGATGGTGGTGATGGTTGCACAATAATGTAAATATATTTAAGGTGCCTGAACTATATACTTAAAAATGGTTAAAAAGGAGCCAGACAGAGGAGTACACATCTGTAATCCCAGCGTTCCAGGAGGCTGAGGCAGGAAGATTGCAACCCAACCTGGGCAACTTAGTGACTTAGGAACATTTTTGTCTCAAAATAAAAAAGGCCTATGGATGTGGCTCAGTGTGAAGGCTCTGGGTTTAATCCTCAGTGCCTCAAAGAAAAATAGCCACAAATATGAAGGAAATAGAAAAGGAAAAAAAAAAAAAAACTGTTTGGGAAGCTAGAGAACAATTGGGTAAGTGGCAGGAGCCTGACTTGGCAGCAGAGGAAAGGTAGATACTAACCAGACAATAGCTAAGCAAGCAGCAGACTCAAAAGCTCAAGAGTGAATAGGGCCATCCTCCTCGAGCAGTGGATGGAGGAGGGCACCAAAAGCTGAAAACAAAAGGATTGGTCCAAAGTCAGAAACAGAAAAAGCTGAGCATATACCTGGCCTGTATCTTGTGATCTCGGGTCCTCAGGAGGCTGAAGCAGGAAGATAACAAGTTTGAGGCCAGCCTGGTCAACTTAACCAAAATCTCAAAAAATAGAATCAGGCATGGTGACACACACCTATAATCCCAGCACCCTGAAAGCTGAGACAGAAGAATCTCAAGTTCAAGCCCAGGCTGGCCTACTTAGTGAGACTCTGTCTCAACATTTAAAAAATAAAAGAAGGTGTAGCTTAGTGTAGACTCTGGGTCCAATTCCCTGTCCTGCAGTCAATCGATCAGGAAGGCCTTAAGACATAACTCAAGATCAGGGCCCCTGATTTAGTCCCTAATACTTCAAAACAGAGCTTCTGCAGTGGAGTAGGTAAGAGATGAGATTCTGGGTCAGACCATCTGGACCAAAATCCCAGATAACACCATAAGATGGGGTATACTGCCAGGGATTTAACTCGGCAGCATAAGCGCCTGCCTTGCAAGTGTGTGGTCATGAGTTCAATCCCCGGTACCAAAGAAGAAAAGATGGGATATACTAAGAGGCATAAAACAAGTGTCAGTGAATGTGAGTCACAGCATGTGCTATACCCACAGTGGAACTAAAATGGGCGTGAGTGCCCCCCAAAATCTGGGAAATCCCCACGTATTTGGAAACTAAAAATCATACTAAAGAACCCATGGGTCAAATAAAAATTTTAAAAATCAGCATTTTGAAGTAAAAGTCAATAAAGACATACTAAAATTTTCTGAGGCTGTAGCCAAAACAGTTCTTAAAAGAAAATTTATAGCGCCTAAATGTCTCTGTTAGAAAAGATCTCAAATCTTCAGTTACTGCATTAAAAAACTGAAAAAAAATTTATTTACCAAAAATAAACACACACAAAAAAAAAAGACAACAAGGTTAAAAATTAATGAAGGAAACACAGGGAAACAATAGGGAAAAAAACAAAAAGCTGATTATTTTAGAAGACCAATAAAATTTATAAACCTTAGCTAAACTGTTGTGGGCAAAAAAGACAGGGGACAGGGATTTAGCTCACCGGTGTAAGTACCAGCCTGGCAAGTGTGAGGTTGTGAGTTGGATCCCCAATACCAAAAAAAGAAATAAAAAATAAAAAAGAAGACATAAGTTACCAAAATCAAGAATGAGAGATTGGCTGTAACCCCAGCACTTGGGAGGCTGATGCAATTACTGTGAGTTCAAAGCCAGCCTGGGCTGCATAGTGAGTTGAAGGCCAGCCTGGACTATATAGCAAGACCCTGTCTATTTGGGAAAAAAAAATGCTCACAATGGGAGACTGTACAGATGTTAAAAAGACAATAAAGAGATATAATTAACTTTATTCAATAAACTTGAAATTAACAGATTTATTTGGAAGATGGAAGCTACCAAAGGTCATAATACAGGAAATAAATACTCTGAAAAGTTGTGTATCTATGAAGGAAATTGAATTTGCACTTAAAAGCCTTCCCACAAAGAAAATTCCAGGCCTAAATGGCTTGACTGGTGAATTCTACCAGACATGTAATTGTCTATCCTGTGCAATCTGTCCCAAAAAATTGGAGTAGAGTGAGTATTTCCTTAGTCATTCTGCACTAAAATTAGAAAAGGACTGTAAAAAAAACAACATGCCCCTTGTAAATGTGGATGCTAAAATATTTTAACAACTGAATATTACAGTATATGAAAAAGTTAATGCACCTTGACCAAGTGGATTTGATCTAAGGAATGAAAATTGACTCAGTGTTTTTCTGAAAAAGGAGAGCTGGGTGTGGTGGCACTCTGGGAAACTGAGGCAAGAGAATTACAAATTCTAGCCTAGCCCCGTCAATTTAGTGACATAATGAGACCTTGTCTCAAAATAAAAAGTAAAAAAGTTCTGTGGATGAAAATCAATGCAAAGACCCTAGGTTCAATCCCCAGTAACACATTACACACACACACACCATCACTGGCAATCACCATATAACAAAGTAAGAACAAACACATGATCATCTCAATAAAGATACAGAGAGAATAAATGTAACTGACAAAATTCAACATTCTAGTCTTTTTTATTCTTTTTTTTTTTTTTTTTTTCCTTAAACTACAAAAGCCAAGTATAATGGCATACCCCTGAAAGAAAATCTTGGGAGACTTGCGTCAGGAAGATCACCAGCCTGGGCAATTTAATGAAACCCTGTCTAAAGATACAATTTTATTTATTTTTTAAGATAAAATTTTATTTTGGGGCTGGAGATATAGCTTAGTGGCACAGTGTCTGCCATACAAGTGCAAGGTCATGAGTTAGATCTCCAGTACCAGAAAGTAGGCTCAGGGGAGGTAGCAATAGGAAATTACTGCCTATTGAGTACAGAATTTTAGTTTGGGAACATGAAAGGTTTTTGTAGATAGTGGTGACAACTGCACGACATTACAAAGTGGCTAATGCCATTGAATTGTACGTTAAAAATTATTAAATACCTAACTTTATATTTTACCACAATTAAAATATTTTTATAGCTGACATCATATTTAGTGGTAAAAGACTGAATACTGCCGGGCTTGGTGGTACACATTTGTAACCCCAGCTGTTTGGATGGCTGTTATATTACAAGTTCAAGGCCAGGCTGGGCAACCCTGTCTCAAAAAAAAAAAAAGTGCTGCTATATAAGCTCAGTGGTAGAATGCAGAATGCCCCTGGGTTGGATCCTCAGTGCCACAAACACATTCATACTCTGTCTTGAGAAAAATCTGACAAAAGCTGTGTAAGGCTTCTGTACTGAAAGCTACAATGTATAAAAGGCCCAAGTAAATGCAGCGGCATACCATGTGGATGAACGAGATTCAGTGCTACTCAGATAGCATTTGCCAGGCATAGTGGCACACACCTGTAATCCCAGCAGGAAGTTAAGGACCACCGCAAGGTCAAGGCTACCCTGAACTACATAGTGAGTTCCAGGTCAGCCTGACCACATGGAGAGACCCTGGCACAAAACAGACCTAAAAAAAGACACCCTCTGTGTTCTCTCTTGCATTTGGCCCACACTTAGTAGGGTGTACTTCTGCTTTTACTTGACCCAAACCCACTGTGCAGGACCTTTTTTTTCTACTTTTAATAAAACTTTGCAACCATTAAAAAAAAAAAAAAAAGAACAAGTTTCAGTTCAATTCTCATTAGTGGGATTGGGTAGAGAAAGAGAGACAGACACACAGACATAGACAGAAGCCAGACAAGCAAGAAATGGGAGCTAGAATGATCACTGTGTTAATGGATTAAAGTTGAAGGCATCAGGATAAATTCATATTTAGAATAATATAGGTACAGTGGGTATATATAGAAATATTTATAGATGTGTGTACATGCAGGTGTTAACAGACACATATTTTTCCTTGCTTTGTTAGGTGAGAAGAGCTAGAAGCATCCCAGTAGCAATAAGCATTAACCTAGCACCTAGCTTTTAGATTTTAAATACCATTCTCTTCATTACAAGGACCCAGGGTTCTTGGGAAAGTGGCTGGCCTTACGCAGAAGAGAGTCAGGTGTAGTGGTGCCTATAATCCCAACACTCAGGAGGCTGAGGCAGGAGGGTAGCCATGAGTTTGACGGCAACATGGGCTACATAGTGAGTTCAAGACCAGTTTGAACTGCATAGTGGGACCTATGCAGTTGTTGTCTCAACAACAACAAAGATATAGGGACAGAAATAAGGAAGCCGGGAGGGCAGAGGGGAAGATGATGGGGCTGGGACAGTGTCACATTGGGTTATAGCCCAAAGCATAACAAATACCCACAACAAATAACCAAGGTCACTAGCAATAGCAAGAAGCAATGTGCAGCCCAGCCCAGGTGTGCCCAAGCGAAGGGGCTGGCCTTCTGATCGCAGCGTGCTGGAAGAGCCCTGACACCTTTTTGCAGCCTTGTGTATGCACACTCCCACACTCGCTCACCCAGACAAGCTCGGTGCCCTGCTGGACGGGCGCAGCCCCTGCTGAGCCAGGGGCCTCCTCCCCACCAGTGTGGAAAACACATGGGCGTTGGCTCCTGGCATGTGTTCTGTGGTCCTCATGGTTCTATTTGCTCTCCAGTGACACAGCACATAAAAGAGCTCCTGGAAAGAAACACTAAGAAGAAGTCCAAATTGAGAAAGAAACCCAAGCCTTATGTTGAAGAGCTGGATGGTAGGGCCTCTGCAGCCTGGCGCTGCCTCTGCACCATTCTGCTCTCCTGCCACGGCCGCCTGGCCTCTTCTCTAACCACTTCTGGGCCGGGGAGGGGCACTAACCTCAGGCCTGGGACCTCCTGAGCCTGGAGGCCCTGGTGGCTAACAGGATACTGTACCTTTCTTGGCGATACCAGAGCAGTTCCCACCTTGTTTCTTGAGTTTTGTGGGCAGGAGGCATAAGGACCAGCTGCCTAAGACCTAGATCCACCCACAGGTGAGTGTCAGGGCATCCTATGGCAAGGGTCTCCATAGCCCTGTCCTGCAGCCAGGGAACCAAGTATGTTAATCAAGAGTTACCAAGAATTTCCTTTCTGCTGTGGGCCCCCAGCAAGACTGCTTGGATTCTGGGATCTTTCCTGCCCTTTGCCTAGGCCCTGGCTCAGTACCAACCTGCCTAGTGGTTCCCACTGAGCACCAGTTCAGCTCCTGAGGCTCTGATCCCCACCCCTGAACCTGCTCTGATCTTCCTGCATCTCCTCTGTGCAGAGCTACTTTTACCTCATAGGGTTCACACTGGTCTGTCTAGAACCTGTTCTTCTGCTCTTGGTCTGCTCCCCTCTAGAAAGCCCTCTCTGTTTACTAGGGGGACCTATGCACAAGGACAAGGAACTATCTACAGATGAGTCCTGTTTAGAACAAACTCTTGGGCCGGGTGTGGTGGTGCACTCCTGTAATCCCAGCACTTGAGAGGCTGAGCCAGGTGGATTGTGGCAAATTTGAGACCAGCCTGGGCTACAAAGTGAGCCCAAGGCCAGCCTGAACCTCATAGTAAGACCCTGTCTCAAAAAGACAGGAAAAAAAAAAAAAAAAAAAAAAAACTCTTGAGCCAACAGGAGGCCAGGTTGGCATCTGCAGGGCTGGGCACTTGGTCTCATCCAGGAGCCTCTAAGCATGTCCTCAGTAGGTTTGTGCCAGGGCAGCTACAGACCAGGGTAAGGTTCCAGGCCATGGGTATCCATCCTCAGATCACTGGGACAACAGTGGAAGGAGCTCTGAGCTCCTGCCTGAGCCAACCACTGGTACCGGGGAGCTGGACAGACATCAGCTGTCCATTAAGCTTGTTGCTGAAGCAGGGATATGGGCCTGGGTAAAGCCATCAGGACCTTGCAGTGCACATGCAGGTGGGGCATGAGGAGCAGTCCTCCTGCACGGCAAGGTGGGCACACACAGCCTCATAGTCAGGACCTGGCACAGGAGCAGGAACTGTGGAGAGCTGCTCTGTCAACCCCTCTGTGAGTAGCAGTCTCCACCATGAAACCAGACTTCACCGCTGCCAGGTAGATGGAAGTGCTGGCTGAGGTATCTCTCCCAAGCAGAGTATCTCTCCCAAGTGACTTTTTCCTGGGCTGGCTCTGAGCACTGCCTTTTTCACCCTAGGTGCTCAACAGAGAGCAGAAGTCATCACAGCTTTCTGCTCCTGGGATGCATTTGGCCCTGACTCAGTCCTTACCCCACCCCACAACTATGATGCCAGCACCTTGTCTGCCAGTCACTGGCTCCCAGCTCACCCATGAAACAGGCGTTCCTGTCCCCATCCCACAGAGGAAGAAATTGAGGCACAGAGGTTTCTCATGTCCCGACCACTAGCCAAGAAGCGGTTTCCCCAGGATACTGTCTTAATCCCTGCAGGCACAGGCAGAAGGCCTGAGCATTGGGCCCCAGGGTGGCTCTGTGTGCCCGTAAGGACCTGTCTTCCCCCAAGGGCAGGAAGCAGCAGCTCAACCCCCTCATGGAATGACAGTAGGTTCCAGCCACTGCACTGAGCCAGGGAGAAATAGTGCAAAACTTGCCTGCTCTGTGCTCTGAATAGCAGGGCTGTGGTCCAGGTTCTTCTGTATGTGCCATACATTCTCCAAAACAAGGGATCCTCAGAGCTTCCCAGCAGCGCAGAGTGGCCTATGGTGGAATGTCCTGGCCCTGTCTGGAGCCAGATGAGTTTAGAACCAAGACCTTCTGCCAGGGTCTGTGGGTCTCTAGGGACCTGTGGCTGTGTCCAGGACTTACATGTCTATGAGAGGTTTGTTTTGTGTTTTGTTTGGTTGATTAAAGAATTCCCTTCCGGCCAGGGATTTAGCTCAGTGGCATAAGCACCTGCCTGGCAAGTGTAAGGTGGTGAGTTCAATCCCCAGTATCAAAAAAAAAAAAAAAAAAAAAAAAAAAAAAAAAAAAAAAATCCCCTTCACGGATTCAGTGACAACTACTTTATAACTTGAAAATGTTTTTATGGACTAAGACATTTGCTTTGTTTTTTGAACTGGAGTCCAAGCTCCCTCATATCCTCAGACATCCATAAGAAACTGTTTCCTTTCAAAGACATCTCCAGGATCTAGAGATGTCCCTTACCCTGGCAGCTGGCAGGCAATGGGATTAGCAGGCAGTGCCTTCCACAGGAGGCAGGGAACGGATACCCAGAAGCACTCGGTCCAGGTCACCTTTCTGTCCCTGACTTTTCTCGGTGTGTGCTCTTGTCTGCCTCCCTCTTCTTTCCTACCTGGGAGCACTGCGCAGGTCCAGACCCCCAGTACCATGCCCTTTCTAATACCTGCTCTGTCCTCCAGGACTACTTTTCGAATCTCAGCTTTAGGGGCGGGGCTACAAATCCTTTCCCTTGAGAAAAGAGTCCCAAGGTGGTCTTGCCTCTACCTTGCCCTCCTTCAGGGGTCAGGGTGCTGCCCTGTTCCTTCCCTTTAACTGTGGGCCGCACCTTGGACCTCTGCCTCCCTCACCCCACCCCTATCCCCAGGTGGGGCTTCCGGGTGGAGTGGTGTGGAATGAGGTTTGGAGGCCTTGGGACCTAGGTCACGCCCTGTCCTGCCAGTGAGGCATTAGAAAGAAGTATCCGTGTCCCCTCCTGGTGGAGGAGTATGTGGGCTGGCAGAGGATTTTCTCCCCCAGCCTGACCAATGGAGGTACGGAAGTACCCCTTTTTGCTTCATATGGGTCTCTGCTCTAAAGAACATTGGCTGGGAGAGTAAGGACCACTCCACTGGTCAGGAGTGAATGTGAGTCTAGCCATTCATACCCTAGTGCCCCTTCTTGCAGGAACTGCCCTTCTTTGTTGCCCCCCAACGTTAGTCCCTGCACCCACTCATCTGCATCAGGCTGACCAACACCCATTCTTTTCCAGGGGTGGCGATAAGCACCTACGCCAAGTACTGTTACCACAAGCTGCAGAAGGCGGCCCTGACAGGGGCCAAGAAGGTACAGGCATTTGTGGGAGTACCAGAGTGGGGTGGCAGAACATGAGGGGCCCAGAGCCCAACTAGGTGGCCAGCCAGGAAGGCCTTCCTGCTAGGACACTATTTCAGGTTCAATGCAGGCAAGGGGGTTGTGGGAGAGGCCAAGGTGTCAGGCAGCCTACATCATTAGGTGACCAGCCTCCTGGCTATGTCCAGCCTGGCCTCAAGCATGGTGTGCAGATCAAGGAGTAGGATCCTGGGTACACGGAGCTAAGAACCCAGCTTGTGTGACCAGGTGCAGAGGCCAGACACAGCTACAATGGAGACTTCCCACTGGAGTGGACCCCCTTCCCTGGCAGTCTCAGGCTACAGGGAGGCCCACAAAGAGCACCAACCACTGCAGTCTGTGGACGCCTATGCCTGCAACATCAGCCCTTCATCCATCCTCCCCTTTTCCATCAATTCCCTCCTTGCTCTAGAGGATCTCACTCCTTGGTTTTGGCCCCCTTTTCCTCTTTCCTACAGCCCACCTCCAGGAAGTACCTTGGGCCCCTTGTACCTGTTCCAAGGCCTGGCCTAGCTTCCTTGCTTCCTCTCCCTTTTGATATGTTACCCTACCACAGAGCTCAGTCCTGCAGTCAGACTTTCAGAAGTGTCACAGGTCAGCTAGCCCAGGCCTGTGTGTCCCTGATAGCCCAAACTGGCCCATTGAGGCATAGCTCCCATTTCCCCACATAGCCTGTGGGATCACTTACAACTTCAGGTGCTGTAGATGGCCTGGAAGGCAGCCACTGTGGCAACTCCAGCCAAGCATTAAGGGGGAAATGGCACCAAGCTGGGCATCTCTGGAGGATTGAGGGCGAGGAGGGTGGAAGCTGGGAGGCTGAGCCAGACCAGGAGAGTGGTTGTCTTCACAGGGGCTGAAGAAGCCCAACGTGGAGGAGATCCGGCATGCCAAGAACGCCGTGTTCAGCCCATCTATGTTTGGCAGCTCACTGCAAGAGATCATGAGTATGCAGAAGGAGCGTTACCCGGACAGGCAGCTGCCTTGGGTACAAACGCGGCTCTCCGAGGAAGTGCTGGCACTCAATGGTGACCAGACGGAGGGCATCTTCAGGTGCCATGCCAATCCCGGGCCCTGGGTGTGGGGGCCGTAGGCATGTGTCACCACTCATATCTGGCAGGCAGGAACCACTGAGTCAGGCCCAGTGAGCCTGCTTTGGAATAGATGGAAAGGTGGGTTATCTTATGGAGGCAGATCTTGACAGACAAGATAGGACGCTATCCTTGAGAGGCAGGTCTGCTGGGTTCCCTCTGCCTCCATAACAGCAGCAGAGCTAGTCAGCCATGGTGTGTCTGCAGAAATGGCCACCAGGGTCCTGAAAGTGCTTGGAAGACAGCCAGAACCAGTGCCTAAGACCTGAGCCTGAGATGACATGCAGCTGGCCAGGTGCAGGTTTAACCAAACAGCTCAATAACACCAACTCACATCATGTCTCTGAACAGGAATATGACAGCCCTTGCCTGCAGGTATCACATTTCTATGATAGTTGCTCACATGTCAGAACCAGGAGAATCCAGGTCCCCTAAAGTACAAGGAAAGTTGAATGTTGCAGGTTTGGGCCTTAGAGGCCCTGCAGAAAGTCCAGGAAGAGATGGTGGCCTGGGAGGACCTCATACTCAGGTCCTTGTGCATGGGAAAGGGACCCAGAAGGTGGCAATGGGACCCAAAATCACATACACTAGGAAAGGGGTAACTAGATGGAGGCCTTGAGGGACTGTATTACCCCCATCCCTGGGCAGCTGGGCATGCCAAGCTCTCTCAACTGAGACCTGCTCTGTACTGCCCAGGGTTCCTGGGGACATTGATGAAGTGAATGCCCTGAAGCTGCAGGTGGATCAGTGGAAGGTGCCTACAGGCCTGGAGGACCCCCATGTCCCTGGTGAGCACTCAACCCACTCAGCAAGGACAGGCCTGGTGTAGGCCATGGGGCCTTGAAGGGTTCATAGGTGCTGGCCTACATGCACAGTCCAGAAGGGAGATGGCTACTAACCCCTCCAAGGGCCATTCAATACGTTGTCTTCCTCCTGTCCAGGTCTGCCATGGCTTCATCTTATGACCCTCTGTTCTCTTAACTGTGTAGGCTGCCTTGGCCAACACCCCCACTTCAAGTAACCATCTGTCTTGGGTCACCCCAGTTAAGCCCCTAGAACTGCTCAGCCTGGGGCATAGGGGTGGAAGGGGGGGTCCAGGCCAGCTCCTTATAGCAGCTGCATAGCACTGCAAAAAACTTGTGCAGTCTCTGAGGCATCCCCACCCCCACCCCTGCCTCCAGGATTGTGGTATGGCCAGGGGGCCCTTTTGTGGTGACCCTTCCCTACACTCCTGAGTGTGGCCCAGTGGACTGCTTGGACCTGGTGTCCCCAGAGCAGGTCCCTCTAAGCCTCACCCATCTGCAGCATCACTGCTGAAGCTGTGGTATCGGGAACTTGAGGAGCCCTTGATCCCGCACGAGTTCTACGAGCAGTGCATCGCACACTACGAGAGCCCAGAAGCTGCAGTGGCAGTGGTACACGCGCTACCCCGCATCAACCGCATGGTGCTGTGCTACCTCATCCGATTCCTCCAGGTATACCCGGCGCCACCTTCCCAACCGCTGTATTCACCTTCCGCCTCACCCCTTGCACAGGCGTTCGTGCAGCCCCATCAACCACATGGTGCTGTGCTACCTCATCTGATTCCTCCAGGTATGCCCTGCCCCGCCCCCAACCCTATCCACCCTTCGCCTCATCCCTTGCACAGGTGTTTGTGCAGCCCGCCAATGTGGCCATCACCAAGATGGACGTCAGCAACCTCGCCATGGTGATGGCACCCAACTGCCTACGCTGCCAGTCAGATGACCCACGCATCATCTTCGAGAACACGCGAAAGGAGATGTCCTTCCTGCGTGTGCTAATCCAGCACTTGGACACCAGCTTCATGGAAGGAGTGCTATAGCGCGGGCCTGGGCAGCATGGGGCCCCGCCGCGAACCAGGAGCAGCCAGGCCAGGGCCGCGCCACCTTGCCCCGAGAAGTGCCTTCTGTTCCCAGTGCCGAGCACATTGCCCTCCCCTTCCTGGGCTCAGGGCTGGCGGACAGGGGGCGAGAGTATTTTTTTCTTGGGGTAGTCTGGAATCTGTGCATAGAGATATAAATAGAATGACAACGACGTTTGCTAAAAGACATTCTAATCCGACACCATTCGCCTCAGGTACGACCTTGTGTCGCCACCCTGTGGCGTTGACCAGCCTAGCGTCGGTTACAGTTTCCACCCGGAATCAGTTTTGCCAACTGTTGTCAAACTTCATTTCTCCCCAATTTTTATATATATATTTTTAGAGTTTTTATTTATTAAAAATAAGCCCAGTCCGCCGCGTCCCGTGACGCAGGGTCCTCCTTCCAATGGGCCTTGACTTCTCGAGGCAGCTCGGCGCTGGCGCTCGCTCTGGCGCTTCGTGTGAATAAAGTTCATGTGGATACTCGGTTCGCTGCCTGCTGCTGCTTTCCTTCTGCTTGGGGCTCGTGCAGATCAGGGCGGGGCGTGGCTGCCACCTGAGCGCCGGAACCCAATGCGCACAAAAGTGATGCCGGGGGACACTTATTTCCGCAGCGCCGCTCCCCAGATGACCGGCCTGCTGCTTCCGATACGGAAGAATGTGGCCGCCCCATCGTGGGGCCCTCCGGGCCCTGTCTTTGTCCCTTGCCTTGGCACGGCCACAGGGCGCTCGAACCTATAGAGGAGAAAGGAATGTCTCCTACACGCAGGGCCAGAGCCCGGAACCCCGGACCCGCGAATATTTTTACTACTTGGATCATCAAGGCCAGGTGGGGGGCGGGTCGGGGGGCGTGCTTGGGGCGGAGGCAGAGGAAACGCGGCCCGGAGGGGACGCTAAGGTTCTTAGCCTAAGTTGGTCAACCTAAACCATCCTGCCACACCACGCCGCGTCCCCGAGTCCTGGGGCTGAAGTCTCAGGACTGAGGGAGACTTGCCCTACCTATCTTAGGAGCCCTGCCCAGAGCGTGCAGCATATCCCAGAGGGAACAGGCCAGGTAACCTCAGTGGAAGTGGTATATCTTGGTTAGAAACTTGGAAACCGGGAATGGTGGCACATGCCTGTAATCCCAGCACTGGAAGGCTGAGACTCCGTAATCACTGCAAGTTCGAGCCCAGGTGGGCCTGAGTTACATAACGAAATCCCGTCTCAAGGGAAAAAAAATACGAAACAACAAAAACTTGAAACTTAGAAACTTGAAAGAGACAAGAGATAAGGGCTGCTGGCTCGCAAAATCTGCAAGGAAGTGCTAAACCGGAGTGGGTAGAATCTTTTTTTTAAAGACAGGGTATGGCTATATAGTTCAGGCTGGTCTTAGAACTCCCTATGTATACTTCCTATGTAGCACCGAACTCGCCTCAATCCTCCTGCCTCTGCCTCCGAAGTGCAGAAATTACAAGCATTTGCCACCACCGCTGGCGAATATCCCAGATTTACACAGTGTGCACAGAGATGCAAAGACAGTGGTCACAGGCCTGGGCCTACCCCCTGGGACTCACTGTCCACTGCCTCCTACTCTGTCTGCAGCTCTTCCTGGATGACTCCAAAATGAAGAACTTCGTCACCTGCTTTAAAGGTACGGCTGCGCCCCTTCCTTCGTCCCTCAAGGGGCCTGGCGGTCTCACTGAGGCCGGAGCGGTCTTTAACGTGGTGCATGGCCCAGCGCTTCCTGGGGAGGAGGACTGCTGGGGGTCTCCTGGTGAGCATCTGCACCTTTTACTCTCCTAGACCTGCAATTCCTGGTCACCTTCTTTTCCCGCCTGAGACCCAACCATAGCGGGCGGTACGAGGCCTCCTTCCCCTTCATTTCGCCTTGTGGCCGAGAGCGCAATTTCCTGCGCTGCGAGGATCGGCCGGTGGTCTTCACTCATTTGCTGAAAGAAGTCGATGGGTCATCTCGCCTGTCCTACTGCGGCGGGGGCGAGGCCCTGGCCGTGCCCTTCGAGCCAGCGCGCTTGCTGCCCCTGGCGGCCAATGGGCGTCTGTACCACCCGGCCCCGGAGCGCGCGGGCGGCGTAGGTCTGGTGCGCTCAGCCCTAGCATTCGAGCTCAGCGCCCACTTGGAGTACCCGCCCGGCGATTCCATACTGCCCTCACATGTACGCTGGGGGGGCCGCCGCCTGGCCCTCACCTTGGACTTGGCCCCGCTGTTGACTTCAGCCCCTCAGTTCTGACTCGGAGGTCTCAAACCCCACTCCGCTTAACCCCCCACCCCCACCCCCAGGTCTCCCCAAGCAATTGGCTTACACAGGCGACGTCAGTCCCGGGCGGCAGGCGCAGGAGGCGGGGCCCCGGCGCGCGTGCGCGCCCTCCCCTCCCCTCCCCGCTGCCGCTCCGGCCCGGCTGTCACGGGCACGGCGGGGAGCCGCACATCGCGGGAACGTCAGGTGAGCGGGCCCCCGGGACCAAGGTCGCCAGTCTTGGGACGGAATCCCAGCAATATCTTGCGTCCGACCTGTGCGCAAAGGGCCAGCAAACCTGCAAAGAGCGTGCGGACCGGTGAGATGGAGGGAGCGTGGAGGCCACGCCCTCCCCCGGGCCCCGGTACCCACCCGCGCCACAAGGTGCAGACAGGGAAGGTCGAGAGGGATTCAGGTGTCAGGTCTCAAATGCTGTCGCGAGATATTGGCTCGAGAGGAAGCATAGCCTGCTCCGTGTCTTCTATCCAGGTTGGTGGCTGGAAGGCTAACGCCGTGCCCCGCGCCTAGCCAGATTAGGGGGCTTTCCAGTGGTAAAAGGATTTCTGGGCTGTTTTTTCCAAGAGGCCCTTATTCCTGTCCCGCGTCTCTTTTACAATGATGTGCACCCCAGGGGTCCCTGTGAGCAGCAGCTCTGAGCCTGAGACCATGGCTTTGCTGCTAGTGGGTAGGCAGGCAAGTCCTGGACCCAGGGGCCACTCCTTCCAGCTCATGACTGTTAATCCCACAGCCCCAGATAATGCTCCCAGCATCGTGAAGCTCACATGGATTGTTGAGACACCTGGAAACTGCTTCTGTCTGGCCAAAGCTATTCTATTAAAACTTATTTCTATACTTACTTCATTTCTAAGACTTTAAATAATTATGTGAGGTAACAGTTTTGGGCAAGGTTGAAACAAACATCAAAGCCACTCGATTCCTTTCAGTATACCTCAGGATGAGTAGTAGGACCTGGTAAACAGGCAAAGGAAACTGTGCCAGGTGATGCTGGAGGCCATGAGACAGTACACTCTTGGTCCTGTCTTTCCTGACACCAGATGAGCTGGCTTCTCAGCCCTGGCCTTACCTTTAATTAAATTTAAAGCTGTACTCATGGCACTTAAACCAGACCCCAGCTTTTCCATCCCTGGGGCCTTTGGTGCATATACATAAACCTGCACTGGCCACATACTCCTCAATAGTCTGTGACGTCATTGAGCACAGCCCACTCAGGATGCCACATTAGAAAACAGCTCAGTGGTAGAGTGTGTGCTTAGCTTGTGTTTCACCTGCATGAGGCTGTTGAACCAATCCCCAGCACCCCCTCAAAAAAAGACCCAGACATGGTGGTACATACCTGGGAGGCTAAAGTAAGAAAACTGCAAGTTTAATCCCAACCTGGCCAGTGTAGTGAATTGAGACCCAACACATTAAGAAAAAAATAAAACGGGCTGGGAATGTAAAATATGCCCAGTTCACTCCCCAATACCAGAAAAAGAAAAACCTACTTGATAACCCAAGTTCTTCTCTCATACCTCAGCTTTACTAAGATCCCACCTACCAAAAAAAGGCCTTTTTACAAAGCAGCCTAGGATGCAAAAGCCCAAGGCTCCTGAATCCATTTTCCTATTGTCTCACCTTCCAATTTTGTACAAGTTACCTGAGAAAAAGCCCCAACTTTCCAAACACCCTGCCTACCTTCACTCCTAGGAAGGTACAGTAGATGCTTTGCTAAGCTTAGCCTGGACTTCCCTATGGCTCATAGTTCCTCCAAGATCAGATCTACCATCATCTTCCCTCAGGTTGTGACAAATGAACCTCAAGATTTTGGGACAGCACAAATGCAAAGGACAAAAAGAACTAGAATTAACTGTGAGATAAGTTCAGGTAGGGACCTGGGCCTTGTCTCAGGGACGCAAAAAGGGCCTCTGTTGTGGGCTGAGCATTAGGTTCCTGGGAGGACAGGAGACATACACACCCAGAGTCTGCTCTCTCAGCCTCTGCACATGCTTGGATAACTGGTCCTGGACCGTGCCATCTGACATTCCCCAAGCCTTGGCCCTGGGAGCTACATGGGCTCAAAGAATCTCACCAAAGTACAGATGTCATTGGAGAAGCTGGAGGCCCTCACTTGTCCAGAAGGGGTCTGGAGCTGGGTGAGTCCACACATGACCTTCACATTCTGTGAAGAAGCCGAAGACACCAACAGTTCATTTAACCTCATGCCCTCGGTGTTTATGTAGGTGGTTCGTCAAAGGTAGAAACCAGAAAATTCCTTTTTTTTTTTTTTTTTTTTTTTTTTTTTGTCTTTTTGAGACAGGGTCTCGCTATGTAGCCCAGGCTGGTCTCAAACCTCAGCTTCCCACATGTTGAGATTATAGAAGTGTGCCACCACTTGAAACCAGAAAATTTTATTCACCTATTTCTTGAGCTGACAAAACTATTAAAAAGTTAGATACAAGTTGTGAGCCTCCATTCATGCCCTTGTGCTAGCTCTGGAGTATTGGCTGTGGCCCCCCACCTTTGTTTCAGGAGGCACATCCTGTCTACAGCTGGACCCTGAGGAAGCCTGGCAGTTTTGTGGGCTGCTCTCCCAGGAGATGGCCTCCAGGGCTCCCATGCTGTTGCTGCTGCTGCTCCTCCCATCCTGCCCTGAGGGCTGCCCTGCTGCCTGCCACTGTTACAGTGCCACGGTGGAGTGTGGTGCCCTGCGGTTGCGAGTCATCCCACAGGGGATACCCCCAGGGACGCAGGTGGGCAGCATATCCCAAGCCTCTGGACTGAAGTATCCAAGGGTACACGTGGGTGGGTGGGTAGGGGCCACCCCAGAGAGTAGGAGGCTTTGCCATGGTGTAAGCATCTCCCTCCCCTGGCCCACAGACGCTGTTCCTGCAGGACAACAGCATCACGCGCCTAGAGCCAGGTACGCTGGCTCCACTCTCCTCCTTGCGCCATCTCTACCTGCACAACAATAGCCTTCGAGCCCTGGAGTCTGGTGCCTTCCATGCACAACCCCGTCTGCTTGAGCTGGCGCTCACTGGAAACCAGCTTCGAGGCTTACGTGGAGCCGCCTTTGCAGGGCTTGTGCAGCTTCGTGTGCTCTACCTGGCAGGCAACCAGCTGGTGCGGCTGCTGGATTTCACCTTCCTACACCTGGCGGTGAGCACCAAAGGCCTAGATGCAGGTCCTCTTCCTGTACAAGTTGATGTGCTGACTGTAATAGGGGGAGAAAATTCAGAGTAGTCTAACTTGTCTGGGCACCTTTTCCTGATTATCTCCTGTCCCTACTTCAGCGACTGCAGGAGCTGCATCTGCAAGAAAACAGCATTGAGCTGCTGGAAGACCAAGCCTTAGCGGGGCTCTCCTCCCTGGCCCTGCTGGACCTTAGCAGAAACCAGTTGGGCACCATCAGCCAAGAGGCTCTGCAGCCCCTGGCCAGTCTGCAAGTCCTACGCCTCACAGGTAACTCTTGGGGCAAGAGACTCTGCCTTGGCCACAATGGCAGTAGAAGAGAACCGGCCCATATATGGAGAAGACATCTATACCAAACCTTTGTGCACCATTTTGGAGGGGCACACCACTGTTGCAGCTAGGTTAGAGAACTGCCAGGAATGGGTAAGCTGGCAGAGATAGCTCCAGCATCTACCTAAGGAAGACAGAAAAGGATAGAGTGATTTAAAAGTACCAGAGTTCTTGAATACCTTCAGGCCATCAGAAGGCAGACAGGCAAAAACAGAAAAGAGATAGCTGGCCAGGATTGGGAGCATTTCCAGGAGAGTTTATCTGTAGATAAGGTTTTAGTGCTGTTGGGATATCTATGGTGGTTTTCCAAAACAGTGAGACTTAACTTGAGTGAGAAACTTAAGAGGAGCAGAAGCTTTCTCAGGGACAGGCAATGAACGGTCTGCCACCACCTTAGGGAACTTGGAATCAAAGAGGTGACAAGGATTCTGGAATCTAGTGAGATGCTGTGAAAGATGGGAAAGGGGTAAACCCCAACTCAACAGGTTCTGTTCTGTTCTGCCTACAGAGAACCCCTGGCGCTGCGACTGTGCCCTGCACTGGCTGGGTGCTTGGATCAAGGAAGGGGGCCAGCGACTGCTTAGCTCCAGAGACAAGAAGATCATGTGTGCAGAGCCCCCGCGCCTGGCGATGCAAAGTCTCCTGGATATATCCGGCAGTAGCCTCATCTGCATTCCGCCCTCTGTACATGTGGAGCCGCTGGTGGTCACAGCCAACTTAGGAGAGGATTTGCGGGTGGCCTGCCAGGCCTCAGGCTACCCGCAGCCCCTGGTAACCTGGCGGAAGGTGCCCCAGCCTCGGGAAAACCGGCCACAGGCCCAGGCCCAGCTGGAAAGTGGAATGCCAACCCTGGGAGGGCACGGGGCTCCTGATACCGGCAGTGGCATGCTTTTCCTCACCAATATCACGCTGGCACATGCCGGCAAATATGAGTGTGAAGCCGCCAATGCAGGAGGCGCCGCACGTATACCCTTTCGCCTCTTGGTGAACGCTACCCGGCCACACCGGCTGGCCCCTCTTGCCCCGGTCGTGCGTCCCGCAGACCACGAGCCACAGCATGAGACAGGCAGCATGGCCTTCCGCGCCCTGGGCCTGGCCACACAGACAGCCATCGCAGGGGCCATAGCATTGCTGGCACTCACAGCGCTGCTGTTGGCAGCCATGATCTGCCGGCGCCGTCGCAGGCGGAAAAAGGCGCGCGCGCCGCCGGGGGAAGGCACGCTGTTTGTCAACGACTACTCAGACGGGCCCTGCACCTTCGCGCAACTTGAGGAGCTCCGCGACGAGCGCGGCCACGAGATGTTCGTCATTGATCGTTCCAAGCCCCTGTTTGTCGAGGGCCCGGTGGAGACTCCCGAGGATCGAAGCACGACGGAGGGCCTGGCGCCGATGTCCCGCCTCCCGCCGCGCGTTGCCTATGAGATCCACTGCTGAGCACACAGCACGTACCGATGACGTGTGCACCGGGGATTGGCCGGCGCAAACCCTCATCAGTAAAAGTGGAAGCCGCGCTTTTGCGCTGAGCCGTGTGTATGGCGCCGCCCACGGGAGTCCTGGGGCCATGAGGGGCTAGAGCCAGGGAGGCTCCCAGAAGCCCTTCCAGGGGGAAAAGCGCTGGCCCTGGTCAGAGGTTCTGTTATCGTTAGCAACGATGGGGAGGAAAATAGGTGAGATGACAGTTGCTTCCCAGTGGTCATACCGGCGTAACACGAGATAGAATCAAGGCACTCTTACCAATTAGGACAGAAAAATCAGAGATATAAGTTCCAGATACACTGCACATTTGTACCTTCATAACACCACTCCCAAAGCTAGCTGACAGGTTGGTCTGGGTATGAGGGCAAGGAACACAGTATGAGGCACCAAGCCTTCCGGAAGGACCCCATGCTGACTTCAACCCAACGCACGCTTAGGAAGGGCCCGGAGAAACCACTGTCCCTGTCAGCGCACAACTAGGGTTCCAGGAATATCCACAGAGAGGGCCAGGACTCCAAAGTACACCCATACTGAATAGGAAAGTGCAGGGCTGAAATTCAGGCCAGTGTCTATAGTCAGCCAGTTAGAAAGTATGTGCAAGGCAAAGTGAACCATGTAACAGGAAACAGGAGACTCAGGGTGTGCCAAGAAGCAAGGCAGACCCTGCATTAAGTCTGAAACCAGTGCCTTTGTGTCAAGCCTCCAGGAAAGTTCCAACAAGACTCCCGACCTGTGAATATCACCCAAAGCCAGAAGATCACAGGCTGAAATAGTCTGCAGCCAGGCGCCCATAGATGTCTGTGGTCCAGAGCACATGGGCACGGCCTGAGGCCAGCAGTAGCTGGTGCAACTCGGCTTCTACACGAGCAAACTTTTCCTCATTAATGGAAGCCTCCAGCAAGACAGATGCAGGCGGTGGCCAGGGCAGACCTTCGTAGCAGTCCACAGGGAAGGGGTGCACCACAGTACGCAACTCAGCCTGCACCACTGAGTCCCGCAAAAGCTCCTTAAGGCCAGCTATGGATAATGGATTGCCATAGAGGCCAAGGTAGCGGAGACTGGCACATTGAGTCAAGGTAGGGAGTGTGGCCAGTAGCTGGGCATCAGCAAGCTGGCACTCAGTCAGCTCAAGATGCAGCAGTGTGGCCCTTGCTGCCTGTAACAGACCCTGGAAGGGCATCAGCTGACTGCCTGACAGGTCATTCCCACTCAGGTCCAGCTTTTTGAGGTGGGCAGCATGGGAGCTCCGTGCCAGGAACCGCAGGTCCTCAGGCATCAGAGCACAGAAGGCCAGCTCCAAACTCTCCAAGGGGCTCTGCAGAGTGCTGTGGGGACACAGGAGTCACAAACAGGCAGGCCCGAGGGAAGTCCCCATATTAGGGAAAGGCACAAAGTGGTGGGCCCACTCACCTGAGCAGTTGGTCCAGCCTGCCTGAAAGGAGAGAAGAACCCATGCTGAGCTCCCGCAGACAGGTGAAGCGGCCCATCTGAGCCAGGAAGTAGCGGAAGTTGTCCTCACCATCCACAGAGGGTTGTCTTGAGTCTCCATGCACATAGTGCAGCCTCAGGCTGGCCAAGTGCTGAAAACGGGCCACATGTGGAATGATGACAGACAGGCCACGCAGGCCCAGGTTGTTGAAGCGCAGATCCACACGGCGCAGGCAGCCTGCATCCAGAAGCTGCAGCAGGGCCACAGTGTTACGCATGGGCAGGTCCTCAGCCCGGAGATCCCGGCAGCAGAGACGAAGTGGGCTGCCTAGGCTGCTTTGGAGTGCCTCACGAAGGAATGCGTAGGAGGCCCGGTTCACCCGAAGGTCCACACGAACCTCCACAGGGACAGGAGCTGGCCCATGCTCCAAATTCCTGCCCTGTTGCTGGGCAATGCATGTGCGGGCCACAGCTGCTGTGCAATCCCACATGCTCATGGTACCAGGGTCCTGCTCCACACCATCATCCAGGAGACCAGTCATGTCCAGTACCCGAAGAGCATGCTTCCTGGGAGCAGGGATGGCCTGAGCCAGGGGCAGGACCCACTCCCATCCCACTCCCAGCCACCCTGGGATAGAAGCAATATACCTGCTCCCATACTGAACTCTTGCTAACCCCAGAACCCCAGCCAAGAACCTTAGGGGACTCTCCTTGCACTCCCAAGCTGAAGCCCATACCTGCAGAGAGGTTGTGTGCCAGCCTCACTCTCTGGGGTGTGGAGCCGGGCAGTCAGCCCCAGGATCACAGCCTGCATACTCTCAGTGCTGAGCCGTTCCTGCAGCAGGGCCCGACTGCAGTGGGCACACTCCTGAAGCAGCTGCTGGAAGCTCAGCAGTGGGAAAGGCCATGTGTGCACCAGCTCACGCAGTACAACTGTCTTCTTGTCCATGAAGGCCACCTTGAAGAGCAGGGGAAAGAGCTCTCGGGGCAACAGGGGCAAGGCCTGGCAGGCAGCTGACTGGCACTGGAGTACCTGCCGCATACTCAGGAACACAAGCGTGTGCATGGTGCTGGGCTGGACAGGCAGCCACCTGCAGGAGAGGGGATTTCAGTGGAGAAGACCAACCCTAAGCCACCACTAGGCCCCCTCCATATACCAGTGGTGAGAAAGCCCAAAACAGTGCCTGACATGGAGTTGCCAGTCAGTGGATGAAAGCGGTACAGAGGAGCACCTCTTGGATGCCTAGCACTGGCTGGGGCCCATGAGACAAGGGGCAGGCCCCTACCCCAGTCACCAACCTCCAATAGCATGCGGCTTCTTTTGGAAAACAAAGCATCAAGCAGTACATAAATGGGATGGCACCATCAATAACCTGCTTGTTTGTGTGTGCTTCTGACAGAAGGTGGTCGCTCTGCAGGGTGTCCCATTGGTACTTCAGGCTTCCCAAATCACAAAGCTGCTTCAGAAATCCTTCTCAAAAGTAGAGTAAAGCCCAGTCCTAACCCTCAGACTTTCACAGGAGAAGAAGTATATTCCCAGGCCAGCAGCCACATCATTTTTCCCTCTCTCACCCTCCTCCCAGATGTGCTCAAGGGCTTTCCTTGGAATCCATGAAGTAAAGACACAGCTTAATAAACACCAGGGCCAATAAGAAAAGGAACAGAACCCAGGAAAGAGAATCCAGATAACATGACCTATATGATCAAGGCCCTCAGTGTGAGCTACACAGTTGATTACTATTTTCTGGGATGTCACCAGACATAGAAACCCCTGATAAAAAGCCTCTCACCTTCAGTGGTCCTTTCCACCTGCCTAGTCATCTCTCTCTTCCCTGAGGAACCAATGTGGAGAGAGATCAAGTGTTAAATCCGCAGATTCAGAAGGACTCAGGCCAGGGATTCCTCAGATGAGTCACAGATGGCTGCCAAAGCAGCATCCAAACCGAGAAGACGCACACAAACGACCCTTGGGGCCGTCAGGATATCTGCGACATAGGGGATCAGCCCTGCTGCTGATTTTAGCAGACTTCCTGTGTGCCAGGCAACTACACCACCATCATCCCCCTCTGACAGACAGGAAAATTAAGGCCTAGGGTTTACCCAAGGTCATGGCCCACGGAAAGGGGCAGGGCCCAGTCTGGGTATAGGGCCCCTGCGCTTGCTGACCTTGTCACGCATAGCCAAGTCCTCATGGCACCAGTTTCTGGGAAAACCCGGGCACCCACCCGCGGCCTGGCTCTGCCATGCTTAAATCTCGCGAGGAAAACGCAGACCTCGCAGACAGGACAGACTCACCGAGCACCTGTCACGAGAGGAAATGAAAGCACCTGGCCTGGGTGCCAAGTGAGGTGCCTCTAGGCGACGCCCACGCCCGGCAGGAGACCTTCTGGAAAGCCGCGGCCCGGGTGCCCCAAGTCGCGCAGACACCCCCACCAGGATCTTCCGGGTCCCTGCCAGAGGCCTAAATCCGGACGCCCGCCGTTCGTCAGGCGGACTCGCTCCTCTAACCAGGCGCGTCCTCGCTGCACCTAACCGCCAGCCCCGCCTCCCCCGTTCCCCGCGGGAAGCCTAACGCCCCGCCCTCGGCGGCTTTCTTCGTAGCCCAACAGTCCGCACTCACCTGCCCCGCAGCAGCCCCCAAGGCCTCGGGCTCCGCCTCTACCCCATGACAGTCCCGCCCTGCGCCTCGGCGCGGCGCGATGATGCTGCACCTCTCATTGGTTGTTCCTCCAGGGCCCCGCAGATTGGCCGCCCCCTCCAGAGAACCCGCCCCCTTACACTTCGCAAGCTCCCATTGACTGGCTTCCGGAAGACGCCCTAGCGGCGGGAAATTCGCGGAGAGTGCTCCCTGGACCCCATGGATCGGTTGTGGAACTTGCGGGCGCGCCTGCAGGAGTGGGAGCGAAAGTTCACACGACAGCACGGACGGCGGCCCGACCAGGTGCGGGCCTTTGCAGGGTGGGGTTGGAGTCTAAGGCCTCCGCCACCGACTGACGTGCTTCTTTCACAGGAGGACGTGGAGGCGGCGCCCGAGGAGACCCGCGGTAAGCGCAATGCCAGACTGGAGCAGAGGTGACGTAGGGAGTGGTGGGCCCCGCCCTGACTCAGACTCCCTCCTGTCCACCTAGCTCTCTACCGCAAGTATCGTGCCCTGAAGCAGTCTGTGGGCCAGAGGATTGGCGGGCCCCACAGCCACAACCAGTCGCTCTCAGCTGCAGCCCAGGAGGTACACACACCCGGAACCTCAGCCTCCTGGTAGCTAATTACAAGGCCGAATGGCAGGAGTCAAGGGCAATTATAACCAAGCCCGCGTGGGTACAGAACTTGGAAGAATATATAGGGCAGAGTGGGAAGGAGCCTGACTATCTCTGTGGTCAGGCATTGGAGGCCTTTCTGAGAGAAAGGGAGGCCACCTTTTCTCTGGTCTGGATTGTTAACTGTCTTCTGCAGGCTCCAGAGCCTGGATGCTGGGGATCCCACCTGAATCGGTCTGCAACGCAGAGTCCACAGCCTACTCCAGTGCTGAGCCCTCAGGGATCTGCACAAAACTATGGGAAGAGACTGAAGGCCAATCTGAAGGCTACCCTACAGGTGAGGGGTAGAAGCATCCATATTGGGCCCAGAACTGCCCTTGGTTCCTGGTTCATGGGGAAATTCATGCTTCTTTCTGACCACCCTTCCACCCATCTGTTCACTAAGGCATTACCTCATGTCTAACCAGGGCCTGACTCCTGAGAAGTGCTGTGCAGCAGCCTCTGCTTCAGCTTCCTTTCTGTCCCAGCTTCATGCCCTGTTCTAACACTGAGCGTGGGGGCTCAGGCAAGTTTCTGAGACTGCAGCAGTCCAGAGGCCTGAATCCCTGCTTACTATTTTGACCTCCTCTCCCAGGCTGAGCCAACCCTGGGCTGCAGGCGCCAGCCTCCAGGTAGATTCTTGTCCAAGAAGCCCACCCTAAAGACACTCAGCCCAGGGATTCCTCCTACCTCTCCAGAAGAACTCAGTGATTCACTTACCAAGCCTTCTGAGCCCCCACCAAAGCCAGGCCAATTCCAGCAGCTTCAGGCATCCCTGAGTCTGCGGCTGTGCTCCTTGGACCCTGGCTGGCTGCAGCGATGTCAAAACGGAGCCTTAGATTTTCTGCCTGCCTCTGATCCCTGCAAGGCAGAGGAGTCTCAACCTGTGACTGCAGGAGAATTGCCAGTCCTTGTCTCCAGTACCTGCTCCAAAGCATCTTCTCAAGACCCATATGGTCCAGTGCCACAAGCAGCACAAACCAATGCAGGGAGTTTCCAACTCTGCAACCATAGAAGCAAGAAGCAAAAGTGGACTAAGGAGAAGGGCAGCAGTCCTATGCAGGCTCAGCAGGACTACAGCCAAGCAAGACTCCTGTCTGAGGGGGCTGGGGCTACAGCTCTTAAGGACCCAACAAGGGGTGCTGTACAAGTTCAGACACCTCAGCTCTACAGTGGCACTTCAAGCCCAGCTGAGGCAGGAAAAGCTGAGAGCACACCCCACCTCCACACCAGCCCTCGGACAGCCATCCGGGATAAGGGTAACTACGTTCGGCTCAACATGAAGCAAAGACGCTATGTGCGGGGTGGGGCCCTTCGAGGCAGGCTCCTCCGAAAGCAGGTGAGACAAGCAGGGCAGAACAGGGTGGCCATCCCTTTTCCCCTTTCTTGTCTTCTCATATAATTCTGCTTTGTGGACCCTTCCCAGGTATGGAAGCAGAAGTGGCAGAAGAAAAGAGAGCATTTTGGGGGCGGTAGGCCGAGAGCCATAGTTGAGAAGTCTCATTTCCAATCTGAGCAGTTTGGCTACTGGAAATCCCAGTGCCCTCAGCTAGGTAGGCCTCTGTCCTGGGGAACTGGGTGAGATGATGCTATGCAATAAGGGTGCCACAGTGTTGGGCAGTAAAAGGCCGTAATAGCTTTCTATCCCTGGCCCAGGATCCACACCACAGAAGGAGGGTGGTGACGACAAAGATGATGTTCAATCCTCTCCCACTTTGAAGGAAGTAACCCAGAGGATAGATGCTGCTTGCTGCTACCTCCCTGGTGAGTGAGGGGAGGAGGTGATTGTGGCCTGTGACTGTGGTACCAGGCTTGTCTTAGCAGAGAGTGTGATCCCCATGTCACTATTTCTGGTCTGCCCCTGCAGGAAAGGACCCAGAGCCTACTGGACCTGAGCTACAGGCACCGAACACAGTGCCCTCAGTGCTACCTCTCTACCCACTAGGGCCCTCAGGGCAGGTAGCAGGTGAGCAGAACCTGTCTCAGTGTCTCCAAAGGGTGGGGAGGCTCAGGCAATGTGGTGACCAATACTTGTGTCCGCAGAGACACCTGCTGAGGTGTTCCAGGCCCTTGAGCAGCTTGGGCACAAAGCTTTCCGCCCTGGGCAGGAGCGCACAATCATGCGGATCCTGTCCGGTAAGTGGGACTGTCTGGGGGATGAGCTGGGTAGTGGTGGGCCACAGAGCCTTGCAGCTGCCTCTCATCTTGCTTAGGCATCTCCACATTGCTGGTGCTGCCCACAGGCGCTGGCAAGTCCCTGTGCTACCAGCTGCCTGCACTGCTGTATGCCCGGCGTAGCCCCTGTCTCACACTGGTCATCTCTCCCCTCCTGTCTCTCATGGATGATCAGGTGTGTAGTTGGGGCCCTCAGCCCCTGTAGATGGCTAAAAACTGATGCCTGTGATGTCCTCAGGCTGCTTCCTGTTCCCTGAATCCACTGAGAGTTGCAAGGTACCTGAATGGTCTCTACTTGAGAGTGACAAAGCTTAACCTCAGCACCCACCAACCAGACCCAGGCTTATAGCTCCTTGGTGCAGGAACTGGGGCTTTTCTTCCTGGAGATCCTGCTGGAATGAGCAACTCTAGGAGGATTTGGGAGAGGACTACAGTTGGGCTGGGCTGTGATGGAATTGCCTGTCTGGTCCGCAGTTATCCCACCTGTCCCCATCTCTCAAGGCTGCCTGCCTCCATTCAGGCATGACCAGGAAGCAGCGGGACTCTGTCCTGCAGAAGGTCAGGAGGTGCCCCATGGACTGGGAGCAGAGGGGAATAAAACTCGGCAACACTCCTGACCCTGTTACTTTCAGGTGCAGGCAGCTCAGGTGCATGTGCTGATGCTGTCCCCTGAAGCATTGGTTAGGGCTGGTTCTGGGGGTCCTGGTGGCCTCCTTCAAGCTGCCCGGCTGCCTCCAGTGGCCTTTGCCTGCATTGACGAGGCCCATTGCCTTTCTACATGGTCGCACAACTTCCGGCCCTGCTACCTGCGCATCTGCAAAGTGAGCCGTGTGGTGCCAGCGTGGGTGGGTGGGGCAAGGCCCTTAGGAGGCAGATGGGCTTCCCACCACCTTCCTCCTTATATAGGTGCTTCGGGAACGTATGGGCGTGCACTGCTTCCTGGGCCTCACAGCCACAGCCACACATAGTACTGCCCGTGATGTGGCCCACCACCTGGGAATAACCGAGGAACTGAGTCCTAGAAAGGGATCTGTCATCCCTGCCAACTTGCACCTGTCTGTGTCCATGGATAGAAATCCAGACCAGGTAGGTTCCACACCAGGGGCCAAGATGAGGATACCCTACCACACACACACACACACACACACACACACACACACACCCTACGAGACACACACACACACACAGAGCAGGGGCCAAGATGAGGATACCCTACCACACACACACACACACACACACACACACACACACACACACACACACACAGAGCCTGAGCCAACAGCTGTTCCTTGCCAGGCTCTGGTGACACTGCTGCAGGGTGACCGGTTCCGTAGTCTGGATTCTGTCATCGTTTATTGTAACCGACGTGAGGACACACTCAGGGTCGCTGCACTTCTCCGAACCTGCCTACCTACAGTGCAGGATCCAAAGGCCAGAGGTGAGCACAGGCAAGGCAGGGTCTCCCAAGGACAACCCTGCATGCATACTCTGGTCCCTCCAACATCAACTTCCCTGCAGGTCGTGTCCCCAGAGCTGTGGCTGAAGCTTACCATGCTGGCATGTGCAGCCAGGAGCGGCAGCGAGTGCAGCAGGCCTTCATGAAGGGCCAACTACGGGTGGTGGTAGCCACAGTGGCCTTTGGGATGGGACTAGACCGACTAGATGTGCGGGCCGTGCTGCACCTGGGGCTGCCCCCAAGCTTCGAGAACTACATCCAGGGTGTGGGCCGTGCTGGGCGCGATGGGCAGCCTGCCCACTGCCACCTCTTTCTTCAGCCCCAGGTTAGTGTCTCGCTGTCCCCTCCTCCCCTACCCTCAGTACTCTGATCACACACTCATAACTGCCCTACTACAGGGTGAGGACCTTCGAGAGCTGCGCAGACATGTGTATGCAGATGGTGCTGACTTCCTGACCATGAAGAAGCTGATGCAGTGTGTGTTCCCGCCCTGCACCTGCACCCGGCAGGAAGGAGGCAACAGTGGGGTGAGGTCTGCAGTTGAGCCCCCACCTCAGGAGGCCAAGCAACATGGTGGCTGCCCAGCAGCCTTTGGACAGGGCCGGGCCTGCCGAGGACATGAGCGAGCACTCCCAATCCAGCCAATAGTGCAGGCCCTGGACATGCCAGAAGAGGGTGAGAGCCAGAGGATGTGGGATGTGTGGAGAGGCTGCTCTTGCCCACTCTGATTCCCAACTCTTCTCTTCAGCCATTGAGACTCTGCTGTGCTACCTGGAGCTTCACCCACAGCACTGTCTTGAGCTGCTGCCACCTACCTATACCCACTGTCGTCTGTACTGCCCTGGGGGCACTGACCAGCTCCAGGCCCTGGCCCAAAGGTGAGTGTTTCCCACCCTAGGTTGGGGACAGGAACAAAGGACCAGGGCTGCTGGCCACATGTCCCTTTCTCTTGGGTACAGGTGTCCACCTATAGCTGCATGCTGTGCCCGGTGGCCACCTAAGAACACAAGGCAGGGCAGCTGCTCCATGGAGTTCAATGTGGTGGAGCTGGTGGACTCGATGGGCTGGGAGCTGCCCCCTGTGCAGCAGGCTCTCTACCAGCTGCAGTGGGACCAAGAGCCTAGAACAGGTGTGCCCACCTCCACCTCACCCTAGGATGTTTACCACCTGGGCGCTTGTGACTGACATACTTCCTGGCAGGTGTGCTAAGGAGTACTGGAGTGTTGGTGGAGTTTGGGGAACTGGCCTTCCACCTGCGCAGTCCTGGGGACTTGACAGCTGAGGAGAGAGACCAGGTCTGTGACTTTCTGTACAGCTGTGTGCAAACCCGAGAGCGCAAGGCCCTGGCCCATCTGCGTCACATGTTCCAGGCTTTTCACAGGTGCGGAGAGAGGAGGGGACAAGGTCTGAGGCCACCTAGCTGGCCCCATAGGTAGCTCTAATATGCCTGTCCTGCTCTAGTGTGGCCTTTCCCAGCTGTGGGCCCTGTCTAGAGCAGCATGACAAGGAGCGCAGTGCACAGCTGAAAGCCTTGCTCAGCCAATACTTTGAGGAGGAGGAAGAGGAAGAAGAAGAGGAAGAGGGGGATGTGAAGAACAAGCAGAGCCCAGAGCCTGGGCAGGCCCAGGTGACTGCCACCCCTCCCTGGGTGGTTCCTAGAGACAGCCATGATATACACCTGACCCCCACTGTTTGGGCCCTATCCAGCCTGACTTAAGGTTTCCTGGGCAGGCCTGGGGCTCAGCTGTGTGGGACATGGTACCATGGACATGCCAAGTCTAATGTGCCCACTCACCCACAGCTCCAGGACTGGGAGGACCAGGTCCGCCATGACATCCGCCAGCTTCTGTCCCTGTGGCCAGAGGAGAGGTTCTCAGGCAGGGCTGTTGCCCGAATCTTCCATGGCATTGGTGAGGGCCCTAGGGCTGACTGAGGTGAGCTGGGGGCTGGAACCAGAGTCTTCAGGCCTGTGTCTCTTCCTTAACAGGAAGCCCCTGTTATCCAGCCCAGGTATATGGACAAGACCGGCGCTTTTGGAGAAAGTACCTGCATCTGAACTTCCATGCCCTGATGCGCCTGGCCACAGAGGAGCTCCTGTTGGCAGGGCCATGACCACCCTCCTCGGAAGGTGCTTCTCCACAGAGACACTAGGCTGGGCCGTACAGTCATAGTGGTCCAACAGTGACTGACCACTCAGCAAAGCCCGAAGCAACCATGCAGAAACAAGGAAGCTATACATGCAGAATAAATGTGTTCAAGTTGTTTTATGGTCTCTTCTTTTGAAGAGGCCACTGTCAGCCCCAGGGCAGCATCTCATGTATTCTAAATAGGCATTAGCCTTGTGCATACTTGACAGTCCTGCTGCTCATCTCAGCCCAAGGTGCTAGGTGCTAGGTCCAGGTCCAGAAGGGTCAGGGCTGACAGTACAAGAAAGACACCAAAGCAGGGATTTGGACCCAAGCTATCAGCCAGCACTCCAGCCAGGGTACCCGACAACAGCTTGCCCAACAGCTCCAGCGTGGCCATGAGGCTGTAGTGTGTGGCCTGGAGGTTAAGCGGGGGTGGGGGTCAGGCTCTGGCTCTCCAGCCCCACAACCCCCAGGTGTATTTACCACATCCCCTCACCTGTAAGGTTCTGGGTGCCAGCTGGCTGCAGTGCATCATCATAGTAAAGGTGGTGGTGGTGACCAGGCCCCCCAGGAAGTGCTGTAGACACAGACTCAGCAAGGCCACTGCGGGGAGGGCAAAGGTCAGCAGGACCCAGGCCTCGCTCGTCCCTCCCCCAGGACAGCCCCTCACCTCTCAGCATAGTGCTAGGGCCCAAACTGGCTCCTGAAGTGTCCAGGTAGAAGAGCAAGGCAGTTTGGCAGGCCAGGCCCCCAAGGCGAAGTTGCAGCACCAACCTCAGCAAAGGCAGCAGCTTCCTGGAAGGGAAGTGGGGACATGGCTGGTCAGAAGATTCCAGATAGGGCCAGGGATGAGGGGAAGGAGGGTGGGTTGGGGAAGGCTTACCAGTGCCTGGTCAGTAGGGCCCCACCCAGGGAAGATCCAGCAATAGAGCAGACCATTGTACCCAAGCCGCTCCACAGCCCCAGCTCAGAGGCAGAAGCACCATGGTCCAACAGGAGGAGTGGAAACAGGCTGCTGGCACCCTGCTCACCTGCAGGAAACTATTACCAGGGGTGGTCCCCATACCATCCCTGCCACCCCTCTCCCTACCCTGAGGGCTCAGTTGTGCTTATCCAGGCAGGCCCCTGCCCTGCCTCCCTCTGTCTTCCTGAGCTACAGGTGCCGAGTCCACCATCAGCTTGAGGCAACACTGAGCAGCCCAAAGGGCCATGGCTGGAGCTGAGGAAAGACAGGCAGGACCAGGCAGCAGAGCTCTGGTTGCTGGGGCTGGTCCCAGCCAGCAGGTCATATCCCAGAAAGGATGATTCCCTAAGTAGGTTCTAGAGCTGGAGCCCCAGCACTGCCATTGCTTGATACAAGGCCTCACTCACCCAGCTTGTAGGTGAGCACAAAGCCTGCTGTCCACAGGGTCCCAGGCACAGCCAGCAAATCCTGCAGATGGCATGGAGTGTGCTCTGAGGGTTGAGACCAGGGCAGCTGTTGCAGGTCTGGTGCAGCCCAGGCCAGGGCAGCAGCTAGCCAGTAGGTGGCAGCCAGGAGTAGAAAGAGCAGTGGCCAAGAGAGATTAGGAAAGAGGGCCAGAAGTCCACCTCCAGCCACCGCTGATCCCAGTTTGTAGGCGACCACCTGCACAGTGTTGCCTGGTCCCAGCTCGGCTGGCTCCAGGAATTGCATAGTCAGTGTGTCCAGGGCCACATCCTGCACAGCCGCACCCAAGTTCAGTAGTAGTAGCAGGCCCACCATAGCAGCAGGTAGCCCCCCCTGGCCAGATGGGAGAGGAGGCAGTGCGGCCAACAACGCACACACCAGGCCCAGCGCAGCTGTGCTGAGTGCCAGCCAGGCCCGCGGGGAGCCCCGCCTGTCTATCAGCGGTGCCCATGCCAGCTTGAACAACCATGGTGTGTACAGCCCCTTGGTCAGCCCCACGCGCGCGAGGGAGAGACCACGGGCCCGCATCAGGAGAGGCAGCAGGCCAGACTGCAGCCCATAAGGTAGGCCCTGCACCAGGTAGAGACCGGCCAGTGGCAGCAGCTTTGTGCGCATGGCCAGTGTCGTCCGGCGTGCGTAATCTGTGTTGTACGATGGGGTGCGAGCCCATCCGCAGGTCACAGCTGGGGCCCTATGCGCAGTCAACGCTCCGAACAAGCCGAAGCTAAGGACAAACCGAAGGGCTGACCGCCGCTGGTCTGCCAGACAAAAGCTGTAGGCCCCGACGACTTTTCATCGACTTTTTCCCGTGACTGCCCTCAGTTCTCCAGAGTCCGGAAGCAGTAACAGGGACAAAGGATGTTCGCGCATGCGTCCTAACGCCTGCGCCTGCCGGCCCTGCGCGTCACCAAACCTAGGGCGGGCTTAGAATGTTGCATAATCAGCTCTCGGGCGCCCCCTAGCACAGAAAGGTAACAGTCAGTTGCGAACTGAGATGGGTATCCAGCATGGAAAGCATGCACTCTCTTGCTCAGTGGTCTGGCTCCCCCTCACCCCCCGCCACGAGCTCTCAGACTCACTCAGGCCTGCTTCCCAGTGTCCAGACCCTATAAAGAAGTCGGCCTGTCTACTCATGGGCCCTTCTACCCCCGCCCCTTTGCTGTATCTTTGACTTCAACCCCCTCTCAAAGGCAGTGGCCACAAAGAACAAAAAGAGGAACAGGACATGTGTGAAAAAACAGGGCACAGGCTCAGCCAGGGAGACACAGCCATTGCCCATGATGGTGTTAGTGCCTGTGACAAGGATAGGAGAGCCTGCTCAATCAGGACCTACTCTGCCAGGGATGCCCTTGTGTAACCCCTTTTGCCCAGTGTGTCCTCTGAGGACCCCAAGGCCAGGATGCGGCTGTGAAGTGAGGCCTTGGGTTAAGAACCAAGGTATCTTGAATAGTCAAGGATGTCTAGCCAACTGTGTCACTGCAGGAAGAGATCCAGCACGTTTCCTGGCCACTGAGCCATCTTGAGTGGGAGTCCTGTCACTTCCAGATATCTTCCTGGCCCAAGTTCCCTCATGCTTAAGAAAGGGATTTCCCTGTCTCAAAGGAACACTGCAGTTGGGATGCACCAAGCAGGCACCCACCTCTATTTTGGGGGCAAGGATAATGGGTCCTCTCTTGAGATACTCTTCTGTCCATCCTCTCCAAACCTCCCAACCGGAGGGGTGCATTTGCAAAAGAACCTCCCCCTGCTCCTGCCATACCCAACTGGGCAGGGTGTCCTGTGCCTACTGTCACTCCCAATTTAGTGGTCACCCCACCCAACCAGCTCCCTCCTGTAGTGGCACAGAAAGCAAGCTATTGCTGACATGCTCCTCTAGAATCCAAGCCTCTGTGGCTTGTTGTCAAACCCCATTTCCCTAAGGTTCTGCTGACCCAAGAGACCTGCTTTTACACTCCTTATTGATAAGTTCACCTGATTTTTCTCTTTTTCCCCAGTGCTATGGGACTGAACCCAGGGACCTGTCAGGGACCTACATCCCCAGTCCTTCTCCTGATTTTTATGTAAATGATCAGTGTCTATAAATTACAAACCATTGGAGACCCCGCCCAGAAAGGCAGTGTCTCTAGGACTAACAGGTAGACCCTAGCTGTGAAAGCTCCTTTCTGGGAGTCCTCTTTGGCCACTTTTCCCAAGGCATGCGCCTAGTGTTCCTCAGACAAGGTGGACCGTGCAGCAGTACACACAGTCTGCACAGTCAAACACATCCAGTTTTATTTGAGAACTGCAGAAGCAGGTGTCCAGCCCTGGTGGTGGAAGCAGTAAGTCTCAAGGGCTCTAGAGACCTCTAGGAACCTGGTCAGTCTACAGTGGCCCAGAGTGGCCCCAGGAACTGCCTTAGGAGTACTCAAGGGTAAACTTGGCATGGAAACGGCTCAGCTTCTCCAACAGCACCCGCAGCTTCTCCATCGGGGGCAGAATGGTCATTCTGAAAGGGATAAGTGATAAGCCAAGGGGCAAGGGCTGGCCTCAAGGAGGGGCTGTGCAGGCTGGGCCTCACCGGAAGTGGTAGGTGCCTTCCCGTTGCCCAAAGCCGCTCCCAGGCACCACACAGATGCCAGTCTCTTCCAGAAGGCGCATGCAGAAAAACATATCAGGGGCCAGACCGAGCTCCTATATTATAAAAGGTAGTCAAGGTGCCATGCTCACCCTAGTGCTCATCCCACTCCAGACTATCTCACCAGCCCACAAGACCTGAGCACGACGCACTGCGCGTGGAGGCAGCTGCACCCGTGGGAAGGAGTACATAGCACCCTGCACTGGGTTGCAGTAGATCCCTGGAGCCTCATTGAAGACCTGCTCAGTGAGCTTGGCCTTAGCAGCCAGCTCAGCCAGCACTTCCTGCCTCTCCTGTGGCCAAGGGAAAGGGTGATCAGGAAGGTGTAGAGTGAAGCATCCCAAGCCTACTTCCAGTCTGCCAGACACTACAGCCCCCCTGGCTCACCGCCTGAAACTGCGCAAAGGAGGGATCAGAGGGTGCAGGTGGGCTGACCACCATGTCCAGCAGGGCCTGGCCGGGCACTGGCGGGCACAGCCGCACACTCATCAGTTTTAGCATCTGCCGCTGCACCTCAGCGTCCATGTTTACCACCTCTACATAGCCACCGCGGAACCCACACCTATGGGGAGAGTGGGTGTCGAAACGAGGGTGGCAGGATGGGTCCTCAAGCTCCACCTCCCTCACCCCAAGGCCCACACGCACTCGCCCATGTAGCCCTTAGAGACTGAGTGGAAGGAAGCGAGCTCCTGCTGTTCTGCATACGGCGACCCCATCTCCATAAGCACCTTCTTAAATGAGTGGAAGTGAGAGCCCTCGGCATACACATTGTCCTGGTAGACCTAGAGAGCAGCGGCATCACACGGGCCGGGAGCCTACGGCCCAGCTGCCTGCTCCCTCCCGCAACCCTGCTCGCACCTCGTCAGCCATCAGGAAGAGGCCCTCTTCAAAGGCAAAGCGGATCACGGCCTCGATGCACTCACGGGTCTGTACCTGTCCTGAGGGGCAGGAACAGCAGACACTGTGGGAGGCGGGGCTCAGGCCCTAGGAGGAGCGGGGTGGGGCAAAAGAGGACGCTGCCCCAAGAAGGGCGGGCTGGGCGGGGCTTACCTGTGGGATTGCCCGGGTTGATGACACAGAGTGCCCGCGGGCGGCAGTGGTCACGTGCCTGGTGCAGGGCGCGCTGCAGCTCAGCCACGTCCAATGCCCAGGCGCGCTCTTCATCCAGGTAGTAGTCCACCTGCACGGCGTTCAGCTCGGCCAGCGTGGCTGAGTAGAGCGGGTACTGGGGGATGGGGATGAGCACCCCGGTACGCGTGCGGCCCTCACCGGCCACCAGCAGCTTCAGCACAGTCTGTGGGTGGGGAGCAGCATGGTATCTGGGGGGCCAAGGACTACACCCACCCCTTCCCTGGCCCCTCCCACGTTAAACCCGTGTCCTCTGCTCTGGCCCGGCCTACCACAATGGCATTGCTGGCCCCAGTGGACAGGAAGATGTTGTTGGGGTCCGCGGGGATGCCTCCGTCCCGCCTCTCAATGTAGTGCGCCACATCCTCACGGATCAGCTGGATGCCAGAGCTGATGCTATAGGCCCCTGGACTCGGGCCAGGCAGGGCAGAGGGTAGGCCCACGAGGGTGATGAGTCCCCCTGCGTCCCTCCCAAGAGACACAACCCATTGTGCTCCCTGGGGCTTGAGCCTGCCTGCTGCTAGTACTCACCCAGGCTGTGGCCCCCACATGCCTGCAATATGCGCTGGGCCCTTCTCTTGGCATCCTCTGGAAAATCAGGACTGCTCAGGAGATCCGGATAGACACAGAGGGCCAGGACCTGGGAGGAGAGACAGCTGAGGCCAAAGGACGTAGATTAAGGGGACATTATAGGCAGTGCAGGAGTTTTACCTGGCGCAAAAAGGTGATAGGCTTCTGCCCCATGGCCTGTGCATCCCCAATGTTGGCACGGATGACCTCAGTAAAAGGTTTCTTTACACCCTGGCAAGGAAGGGGAGCAGGCAATGAGATTGGGCAGTCAATCCTGCAGCCCTTGTCTCACGTGCTACCAGTATCCAGCAGCAGGGAACCAAGGGCCCAGGCCATACCTGGCGTAGCTCCTGTTCCAGCTCCAAGGCACGCAGCACTATGGGGCCTCGAACTGCATATTCCACCTCCCTTACACACTGGTTCATGGTGTCCAGCGTCAGCACTTTCTCCTTCAGCCCATTGCTTGATGCTTGGCTGTTGTCACCTGCTCTCTGGGCCATGACTCTGCTCAGACCAGGTAGGAAAGCGGCTCAGGAGGCAGCAGGTCCAGAAATGAGGGTGGCAGCAGCAGGCCCAGGATCATGGAATCAGGGCTAGACAGGGGAGCCTTAGTAGAGGGCACCTTCTTCACTGCAGGCTGTTGGCCCCACTGAAAGGGACAGAAAGCACTTGAGGAGCTAGCGCTGCTTGGGCCCCGCCCCAGTCTGGGCACAGTTCTGCCCCGGGGTGCCAGAGGGAGTGGGTGAGGTGGCAGGCGGGACTTGGGGCAAGGCCCAGTGTCCCCATGACGGGAGCAGGAGACCCACGTGGGGGATAAGGACAGACGGACTGGATATTGGGGGAGGGGAGCCTCAGCACCTGGGCCTGGTGGCCCTGAGGAGTTGGCAGAGCTGAGCAGGGATGACCAGTGTGACCCCCAAGATGAGACTAGAGCCAAGGGCCACTGCAGATTTGCTATAGCGGGGCACTGCCAAAACCTAGGCTTCTCGGCAACTCCATCTTTGCTTGAGCCGGGAGACCTGTCACCTTGGCAACTGGGCCAGGCCTCAGGAATGGTGGGGTGGTATGTGAGTTCACTCTCTGGGTTCCACCAGCCAGTGGCCATGTCCTGGAGGCTGCAAAAGCAATGAGGTTGGACCTTGGTCCCTAATCAACACTGCAAAATGCTAGGGGAGCAGGAGAAGCCTGGATATGGGGCAAGCCAGCCTTGGACTCTCAGACACCTCACCCTGGGTTGCTCTGAGCTGCCCTCATGTCCTCCCAACACCCGTCAGCCTGGGGTTGTCCTTGGAGCCACACCCAAGGCCCAGAGTAATCTAACTCTCCTTCCCTCTTGTTCCTGTTTGGTGCAAAGGAAAAGAAATGAGCTGCTATTGGCTCTCACAGCTCCACCTCCACAGGTCCTGAAGGGCGTCTGATAGGCTATGCTCAGAGTTGGCCCACCCAGGCCATGCTGGCTGGCATCAAAACCTATGTGACCAAGGGTCAGGGAGCCAGCCTGCCGAGTTGAGCAGCTGGCAGCTGGTCAGACCCAAAGGTAGCCTTGCTCTTCTGTTTTTGCAGGCTCAGAGAAGCCACCAGGAGTCCTGGGTAGGATTCACACTCACAAACACACATCTCTCTCACCTTAGACCCCTTGTTGCTATTGCCATGATGACCTCCCAGTTCACAGGCCAGAGCACAGGTCACTATGAACTTGGCCTCAGGCAGAACTAGCCACTGCTCACCCCTGGCAGCAGGGCCCAGGGCCCAAGTGGCAGCTGTGGTAGCAGGTGGACCTTCAGCACCTCACTCACTAAATTTAACCAGCTGCCTGGCCCTGGCCCTCCACCAACCCAGCTAAGGACACCAGCTCTCCAACAACAGATACTAGAGGGAGGAAAGGCCCAGGAGACATGGGGTTGGTTAGGTCGGTGCCCAGCAAGAAGAGGGTAGCTCATACCTATCCAGCTCTGGTGGCCAGCCACGGACAAATGACTGGGCAGCGCCATCATCCCTCCAGCTTGAGGCCCCTAAGGGGCCCCTTTCGCCCTGATGCATTGTGCTTAGCCAACTCAGCATGAGTGGCCAACTACTTGTCACCTATACTAGCCCAGACTAAAGCTGGCAGTCAGGCCCAGCATCAGGGCTGCGTGCCAGGAACAGCCAGGAAGTATCTGATGCCAGCCTTGTGTCTTTTCTGACCCACTGGCTCTGGCACAGGAGTTCTGTGGAAAACACTACTTCCCTTTCCTAGGCCAGGGTCCTGGCCCCTCTGCAAGGACACTCTCAGCCCTGACCCCATAGGATCTCCTGACAACACACCTTGCTGTCCTCAGGGAAGCAAAGAGTTACAGAGGAGCCTCCAGGAGGCTGAACCTGGCAAATGAGGGTGTGAGTAAAGGCTAGGCTTCTTGCACAGTGGCTGTAGGCCTCCCTCCCACATATACAAGCCACAGCGCGCACCTACAGGCCTGGGTGCTCGTGGGCATGGGTGGCACCTGACACAGCCACACTGCCTGCCCCTCCCCAGCCGACACACACAGGAAGACTTAGTGGCAAACAGCCCTTTATCAAGAGTCACAGGATAAAGTCTTTGCAGCTGATGTTGCAGGTATGGCTCTGCCACAGGTCCATCCCTGAGAAAAGGTCAGTGTCCGGCGAGGGGGGGAAGTTGGAGAGACTCTACACTAGCTGCCTGCCTATAATACTAGGGCACAGACTCTGGCTGGGCCTGGGAATGGGATCCTGCCACCTTGAGCACTGGCCCTCACATGAGGAGGCAGCAGGGCCTCTTTTCCATATGGGCCTCCTCCGAGGGGGCTGTAAGCTTGAGCAGGGGTGGGTCCCCGCCTGTCCTGGAGCCACAGCCTGGATGAGAGGTCTCAGTGTCCATAGGCAGGTTAGGTTCAGGGGCATCAGGGCCCTCAGGGGACAGTCGCAGAAGCTTGGCAGCAGCTCGCTGGCGCTTGAGATCTGCCAGGGTTTGGTGGGCCTTGTCTCTGGCCAGGTCGTTGGGGGCCATGCTCTCCAGTGGACTCAATTGGTAGGAGACACTCCGGTCCAGCCGCTTGGAGTACAGGTGCCGCCCTGGGGGGCCCTCTACCCGGCCATTGTGTGACCTGGCCACATTAGGGTCATCTTCCTGTAGATAGAACCAGGACCCCAGAAGACATCAGGAAGAACCCTCCTTTCACGGCCCTGGCCTTGGGCTCCAGGCTGTGAGATTGGAGAGGGACTGATATGAATGGTGGGGGTTGTAGCACATCCAGGAGAACAGGGTGCTGGTCCTGCCATCTCCACAAGGAGACTGGTACTGATGGAAATAGAGGCACTAATGACACATCCTATCCCAGCACCATTTGCCAAGGCCATTTAAAAGATGGAGCTCTTGGATATGGTAGCACATGCCTGTAACAACAGGGAGGCAGAGGATTGCCTCAAATTTGAGGCCAGCCTGAACTACATGGTTCAAGGCCAACCTAAATTAAATAGTGAGCACAAGTGCCTGCCTGGCAGGTGTGAAGTTATAAGTTTGATCCCTGGTATAAATAAAAATAAATAATAACAATAAATTGTGCTAGTGTGTGGGCTGGAACTCACCTCTGAGGGTGGAAGTTGGAGCTCAACATCTGTCTGGCGGTCTTCATCATCCTCCAGTGGCTCTGGGCTAGTGGGTGGTGGCTGTTGCCACACAATGGCCTCCTGGGCATGCTCCTTGCGGTACAGGTTGGTGCGCTGGGTCAGGCTTACCCGTCTCACCACCTTCCTGGGGGAGGGGAAGGCACAGGATGGTGAAGAGACTTCCCAGAGTTCTGCACTTGGTTCCTGCTAGATGACAGCTCTGGGGACAAAGGGTCAGGCAGCGTTCTGGGAAGGTGGCTCACCCTCGGCTGCCTGCACTAGAAGTGCGGCGGCGCAGGAGGGAGCGCTGGCGGCCCTGGCCTCGCAGGAGGGCATCATGCTTGTGCTTCAGCTCCAGCAACTTGGCCCGCACCTCCTCGTCACCACACACATCTGAAAAGAGGTGGGCACAGGTGTCATGAGCACCCTTACTACCACCCCTCTCTTGCCAGTGGAGGCTGCCTTGTGTGCTCACCCAGGGGCGTCTCATCCATCAGTGACTTTCCATTTAGATCAGCCCCATGGGCCACGAGCAGTTCCGCCAAATGCACCTGTGGGCCAGTCAACCAGGGATGTGGAGGGCTCACACCAGAGCCAGGAGCCCCTGCCCACCTGCTCCTGCCCAAGCTCACCTGGCCCCAGTAGGCTGCAGCATGCAGTGGCTCCCAGCCATCTTGGTCCTTGGCGCTCAGGCTGGCTCCATGTTCCAGCAGCAGGGCAGCTGCCTCACTGAACCCATTGGCGGCAGCAATGTGCAGCTGCAGGGCAAGGCACACATCCCTAAATCCTGACCCTATATTCCTTTGGCAGCATGCCCCCCAATGCCATGGCAGACCCCTAACGTGGCCCAGAATCCTTACCAATGTGGCTCCATGGTCTAGAGGGTCATTGAGGTCAGCCCCAGCATGCAGCAAGCTCTGGAGGTCATCCAACATGCGTAGTTCTGGCACTGCACGGGCTTCTTCAATGCTGTCCTGGGTGATGCCTGTGGGCAGCAGGCTCAGAGAGAGCACACCAGGGAACCCCTTCCCGGACAGTCACAGCATACTCACCTTGGCTGGCCATGGCAGTCTCTAGGCAATCCAATGTCTGTTCATCCTCACACAGGTCATAGGGCATATTTCCATCAGTGTTAATTGCCAGGAGATCTGCACCACTGCAAGGAGGATGGACAAGGCCCTGGTCTCAGGACCCTTCCTCACACCCCACTGTCCTCACTCAGGGAGTCCTCTGTCCCTTCTTAAGAAGGCCCCTCTTGAGGCCTTTAGACTAGGACTGCCTGAAAAAATGTAGGCTGGGATAGGTGGCCGCTGGTTCATGTGGCCACCCCTTGGCCTTTGATCCTCTCCCTAAACCATCTCACATCTACTGCCATAAATACAATGGGTATACCTATGCTGGGTGTGCAAGGATTCTGCTGAAGTTCCAAATAGCAGGCAAAGTAGGCCAGGAGGGGAGCACAGAACACAAAGGGAGTGCCCACATGCCCCAGAGGAGGAGGGCTAGGGGACACCTGGGTCTTATACCTGCAGCCCATCACCTACTGCCAGGGGAGCTCCAGGATCCTGTCAATGGCACCCTCACCCTATGCCAAGAAGGCAATGCTGTGTGGGTGGAGTTAATCCTAAAAGCATGGAACTGGGGAAAGGAAGCAGAGGCCCCTGAACCTGGTATAGCCACCAGCCTTGATTACTCCACCTTCACCCTCAACTTTGCCCAGGCATCCTCCACCCTAGCCCACCTGGTCCTTTTGCTTCTCTTTTCCTCATCAATTCTACCTTCACTGCAGACCCAGAAACCCCTCAGGCTGGAGTTGGAAATCCAGGCTGGCTCAAGACCATGCTGAGTACACATTCATTCCCCAGAAGCCCAGCAAGGTCAGCAGAGGACATGGGGGCACAGAAGTCAGGACTGTGCAAAGAAGCCACTTGAGCTGCCATTGGTAAGACCTTCCCTATCAGAGGTCCAGTGTGTCATACCGGGAGATGAGGAGCTCCACCAGATGCAAGTGGCCACAGGTGGCTGCAGCATGCAGAGGCGTCCAGCACTCACTGTCTCGGGCATTAACGTCAGCTCCAGCCTCCAGGAGCTGTTGCACCATCTCCTGGAAGTCATCTATGCAGCACTACAAACAAGCACCCTGAGTGGTCTGAGCCCCAGCCAGCCCTTGACCACCCCGCCACATCACCCACAGGCTGACCTGGTGCAGTGCTGTCAGGCCATCCTCATTGGCCAGATCAGGGCTGACCCCGTTCCTGAGGAACTGGCAGACTGCAAAAAGTGGGAAGTGAGGCTGGGGCAAGGCCTGTGACTGTGCTGCTGCCCAGGGGTGAGGAAGGATGATGCAGATGGCAGGAAGTGTACAGACTCAGGAGCACAGAGCATCTGTCTCCCCAAGGTGGGCCAAAAGCACAGCAGCCCTTACCTTCCTACACCATGGCCCCAGCTGCGCAGGCCCCAGATGATCCCTCCCCTCACAGCAGCTACAACCTATGGCAGTCGTGGCGAACCTATGGCATGTATGCCATAGCAGGCTGTTTGGATCATTGAAAGCACTGGCCTACCAAGCAACTGTACTTGTATACTTACTGGCTGACCATAATTTTGTCCCACCTCACTCACACCCACTGTATGATTTGTCATTGGATCAGTATTACCTACCTGACTATTCTTGTAATCTTATTTATTGATTATAGTTCTGTTCCACCTTAAGCCCATCTCACCTTGTGGCTTTCTCAATAAAACACCCTTGAGAAGTGGGGTTGGTAGGCAACCCACTTTCCAGGCCCCCCTCTGTCCCTCTCAGACAGAAGTTTTCTTTCTCTCAATAAATTCATCCTATGCTTAAAAAAAAAAGAAAGCAAGAAAAGAAAAAGAAAAAAAAGCACCTGCCTAGGGTGTGTAGAGTGCATGCACAGGAAGCAGCCATTCTCTGAATACTCTGCCCAGCCCTAGCACAAGAACCACCCACACCCTCCACTCCTCCCAGGTTACCAACCACACCCTCACAAGCAGTGCCCCCTCACTCCCCTTCAGATGGCCCCACTAAGGCCTAGGCTCTTGCCACTGTCAGTGGAGTCCTTCTCAGCTATGCAGGAGGGCAGGCCCTCCCCCCATAGCACCCTTCCATACTCCCCCTATCTCTAGTCCTCTCAGGAGGCTCCTATCCAGGCACTGGCACTTCTCATGAGGGCCCTACTGGACACACAAAGGGCCCGCAAGAGACCCCAAGATGCCTCTTCCCCTCAGCCCCAAAGTCCTGCAAGCACAGGGACTGGGGAAGCAAGAGGCAGCTGACAGGCCAGGCCTGTCTCAGGATAAAAGTTCTGATGGAGAGAAAGAAACCAAAGGCAGGCCTAGGACTGTTTAGAGAGAAGTCATCCCACATGCACCCTGGATGCCAGCCACATTATAGAGGTGGGGACTCAGCACCTAAGCAAGCAGGGACCAGGACTGGGGCAGCCTCACACATAGGCCAAATGCAGTGAGGGGTACTGGTCAACACTGGGTACTTCTGTAGGTCCCATCTTTCAGCAGGACTTTCCATATGTGGCCCTACTAAAAGATAGCTATCCTACCACAAGCGCTCCTAAGGGTGGGATCTGGTGGTCTCCTGGGGCCACAGCCAGGTCAGATTCAGGAGCCGTGAAAGCCAAGACCCAGTCCTAAGCTCCAACACAAGCTCCACATCCAGTAAACAGGAGTACCCACTGTGTGCTCC